ACTCATGGTTTCTTTTGATGTAAAAATCATTATTCACCAATGTCCCAGTGGAGGGTGCCATTAAGATGTCTAGAAACCCAGACTTCGCGAATTTCATTCTCTTGCATCGAAATTGGTGAGCTAATTTCTCTCACTCAACTCTGTTTGAAAACAAACACATTTTGTTTTCCAAAATAAATATTACAAGCAAGCTGAAGGATTAGCCATGGGAAGCCCCCTCAGTCCCATCCTGGCTGATATCTACATGCATTATTATGAATCAAAATTTTTGAAACTTTAAACTTCCCGGCATGGTTCCGCTACGTGACGATACTTTTACCCTGTTTGAAGGTAATAAAGATGATTTAAATAGAGTTCTTTTCAACAATGAATTCTATTGATCCTGCTATTCAGTTCACTTTTGAACTTCAGACTTGCAATTCTCTTCCGTTTCTCGACATTCTGGTCACACGTAACACATCCAACTTCAGTACTACAGTTTACCGTAAACCTTCATCGGTTGCCTTCCACCACACTTTAAATCAGGTCATCCGACTAAACAAAAGTTAGCTTCATTTTATTCCTATGTTTTCCGTGCTCTTCAAGTTTGCTCCTCAAACTAGCCCTTGATGAAGAACTAAATTATTTAAAAGCAATAGCTATTGGACAGGGGCTTTTCACCCAACATTATTAATCAAGCAGTTAAAAAATTCTCATCTCAACACACTAAAAGCCACACTCTTATTTAGGAGATTATAAAAATTCTGTTGTCATTCCCTTCTTTCCATCAATAAGCTATAAAGTTGCACATATTTTGCAGAAATTTAACTTTCGGGTTGTTTACTCTCCCATCAATAAAATTCCAACTTCTATACTCAAGGACCCATTCCGGATATGAATTCCTGGGGTATTTATAGGATTCCTTGCCAGTGCGGTTTAATTTACATTGGCCAAACTAAGAGAGCCTTAAAATTTCGCGTCAAAGAACATGAGGCATATGTTAGAAAAAAGGAACACAGAAATCTTCTGTTGCTCAACATTGTTGGTCCGAAAATCACACTTTCAATTTTTTCTGCTGCCAAAATTATTCAAAAAAAACATCTTCCATTGGAGAACTGGATTTTCTAGAGGCATTTCACATTCATAAAAATCTTTCTGTTCTAGTTAAGATCCTAATTCCAATCCAAATTTGCCTTCGGCTTTTAGAGAAATTATGTTTTAGTTCTGGTTTCGCAAAAGATGGCGCCACTTGCTTATTCTTGTCCAGGCTTTCTATCTTATCTAAACATTATTCCTATCTTGTTCATTTGCGGTTTTTGCAGCTGAAGATGATGGTTCGGTAAAACCATCGAAACTAGTCCTGTGAAATTTGTGAATTAACGCTGATTTTTGTTGTTGACTTCTGAATCGTATTTTCGGCGTGTTATTGTGTCTTAATTATAGAAGCCCCAAAAACAGGCTTACATTTTGCTTTCTTTTTTGCCGTGGGTGGCCGCCATTTGTGATGTAGGAGTTTCGGTGAGACATTTTTGCAATTTTCAAGTTATGTTTATGTTTTGTACATTTCGATATTGTGCTTTTGCTTGTCTTTCATGCATTTTGCTTACAAACATTTTGTTTTCTATTCATTCAGGAGGGATTTTTTGCTATTTTGTGTGTACTTTATTATTGCTCAGTTAATTTAGTTTGATTTTCTGCATGTTTATCATGCCTTCATCCGTTAATCGTTTCACTAAATTATGCCTGAAACGGCAAAATTCCGAATCATTTGACTTTTTACTTAAATGTAAATGTAAAAAATTGATCCCCAATTTTATTCAAATCAAATCTAATCAAAAACCTTCGAGTCGCGTTTAAAGAATTCTGTTAAATTGAAAACTTGCCTTTACTTCGGTCTGTGATAAGGGATACACGTCAACAATTGTCCAAAATTGAACATGAACTCTATAAGCTTCATCTGGAACTCGCAAAAACATATCCAAAATTCACTGCCCTTGAACAAAAGTCTTGGTCTAGAACGGAGAATGCAGTTAACCGTCATAAAAACACCCTTGCAGTTAAATTCGAAAAACTTCTTTTACAGTCTTCCAGTTCAAGTAGTTCAAAAAATCTTCCCATTGTAAACATTCAAGCCAATAGTTAATATTTCTAATGTTAGTCTTTCAGAAGAACAAGAGAGATTCTAAAATATAATTTTAACTTCTCACAAACCTGTAAACCTCGATTCCAAAGATTTTGGCTCCTATCGAAAAAGCTTTCAAGTTCAGTAAAGTTTCAGATTCACAGAAAGAAATGATTAGGCATCTTATCGTTCATAATGTGAAATTCAATAATAAACCTCTGAAACCAAATCTAACTGCGAGAGAAAGAGCTACAATGCGCGAGATTCATTCTAACCCGGATATTGTCATTTCAAAGGCCGACAAAGGTGGCCAGATAGTCGTCATGGATAAGAACACGTACATCGATGGTGTCACTAAACTCTTAAACGAAGGACCATATAATCCAATCCCTAAAGATCCTTCACCTTCAGACTTATCCAAAATAAAAACTGCGATCAAATCTTCGCAAATCATTTCAAGCAACTTAAAACATTCGCTTATCCCATCTGTTGCGAATTGTGCCAGATTATATGCTCTTCCCAAAATTCATAAAAGTGGTATTCCTTTCCGCCCTATTGTATCAAATTTAGGTACTGCCTCGTATCCATTAGCTAAATATTAGTTTCTAGATTTTCCAATCTATTAGACAATAACATTTACACCATAAAAAATTCAATAGAGTTGAAAAAGGGTTAAAAACATTTCTCCTCGTAATTTACTCATGGTTTCTTTTGATGTAAAAATCATTATTCACCAATGTCCCAGTGGAGGGTGCATTAAGATGTCTAGAAACCAGACTTCGCGAATTTCATTTCTCTTGCATCGAAATTGGTGAGCTAATTTCTCTCACTCAACTCTGTTTGAAACAAACACATTTTGTTTTCCAAAATAAATATTACAAGCAAGCTGAAGGATTAGCCATGGGAAGCCCCCTCAGTCCCATCCTGGCTGATATCTACATGCATTATTATGAATCAAAATTGTTTGAAACTTTAAACTTCCCGGCATGGTTCCGCTACGTAGACGATACTTTTACCCTGTGAAGGTAATAAAGATGATTTAAATAGAGTTCTTTCAACAATGAATTCTATTGATCTGCTATTCAGTTCACTTTTGAACTTCAGACTTGCAATTCTCTTCCGTTTCTCGACATTCTGGTCACACGTAACACATCCAACTTCAGTACTACAGTTTACCGTAAAACCTTCATCGGTTTGCCTTCCACCACACTTTAAATCAGGTCATCCGACTAAACAAAAGTTAGCTTCATTTTATTCCTATGTTTTCCGTGCTCTTCAAGTTTGCTCCTCCAAACTAGCCCTTGATGAAGAACTAAATTATTTAAAAGCAATAGCTATTGACAGGGGCTTTTCACCCAACATTATTAATCAAGCAGTTAAAAAATTCTCATCTCAACACACTAAAAGCCACACTCTTATTTTAGGAGATTATAAAAATTCTGTTGTCATTCCCTTCTTTCCATCAATAAGCTATAAAGTTGCACATATTTTGCAGAAATTTAACTTTCGGGTTGTTTACTCTCCCATCAATAAAATTCCAACTTCTATACTCAAGGACCCCATTCCGGATATGAATTCCTGGGGTATTTATAGGATTCCTTGCCAGTGCGGTTTAATTTACATTGGCCAAAAACTAGAGCCTTAAAAATTTCGCGTCAAAGAACATGAGGCATATGTTAGAAAAAAAGGAAAACAGAAATCTTCTGTTGCTTCACAAAAAATCACCACTTTCAATTTTCTGTGGTCCAAAATCACACTTTCAATCTGCTGCCAAAATTATCAAAAAAACATCTTCCATGGAGACTGGATTTTCTAGAGGCATTCACATTCATAAAAATCTTCTGTTCTAGTTAACGATCCTAATTCCAATCCAAATTTGCCTTCGGCTTTTAGAGAAATTATGTTTTAGTTCTGGTTTCGCCAACAGATGGCGCCACTTGCTTATTCTTGTCCAGGCTTTCTTATCTTATCTAAACATTATTTCCTATCTTGTTCATTTGCGGTTTTGCAGCTGAAGATGATGGTTCGGTAAAACCATCGAAACTAGTCCTGTGAAAATTTTGTGAATTAACGCTGATTTTTGTTGTTTGACTTCTGAATCAAAAAGGGTATTGTTGTGAAACTCATGATTGTTTCTGAATTTAATTTCTGTTGTCAGGTACATCTTATTGATTCCCAGTCTCATCCAGATAGAAAATAAAAATTTATTATTTTGGATTAAGATCATTATCACTATTTTTTTACATATTTTGAATGAGTTTATTATTAATGGAACTCTTTCATTAATTTTTCAAAATAACATTTGTATTTTCTAGGAATGAATGAATGTCTTTTAACTAATAGCTTTATCATAACCTCTTTTCCATACTTTGCCTAAAGAGCATTTGTCATTCTATAGAATGCCTAGGGAAAGTATGTAATAATTCTCATATTTCACACTTTGCCTGAAAATGTCTGGCATTATATATAGTGCCTAGGCATTCTATAGAATGCTGGTGTTTCATACTATGCCGGTAATATATATATTATATTACACTGCCTTGGTGAATCAGTTAAATATTTTTTATAGAAAGAAAATATGTATGGACATAATTAATTTGTGTATTTGTGTAGGGTAAATATTGTAGCAGGATTTACTTCTTGGTATTTGTGTAGCTTGCAGAGTTAACATATAAATAAGTCAATCCTTTATATATGCATTTTCCTGCTTCTAATTAAAGCATACATTATTCCTATTTTTCATTTTTACTAAAATATTATCATACTATTACTGACTTTTATGTTTATTATATGAAAATTATGTATTTGCTTAATTATTTTTCTGATTATTAAATTTTATATTTAAAATAATTTCAAAATGACTTTGAATTTTTTAATTAATGACTGAAAATTTTTTTAGTATAAATTTCTGCTGTATAAAGGCAAGCAAGTACAAGTTACTTCTTGCAGTATCATTCCAAGTTTTACATTTCATGTAAGTACTTCAATTTTTCATGCATGCTTCTACTATATTTTCTCAAAAATTATCGCAAAAGCAATAATAATTTTACATTGTATTGTCTCATAGCAATAATAATTTTACATTGTATTTTCATTATATAGGTGCAGCCTAATAATTATGCTAACATTTATGATGAAAATAAAGAAAATTGGTCCTTGAATTTTCTTTCTGAAGCAGAACTATCAGAATTTGCTAAACAGGTGAAATCATACTATTATAGTTATATTTCATGTGTGAAAGTGTTTGTATTTGATAACTGTGTACCTGGCATTCATTAAAAAGGATTTCTGATCTTTTAGTGTAAAGAAAAACGGCAATTATTAGAATAGAGTATATTTGTGAAGCGATTTGTTGTTGTACCTCTCTTATAAGTATAAATCTAACATGTTAAAAAGAAGAAAAAAAAAAGTTGCACTGAAAATACTCGTAGTAATGTTTAAAATATGTTAAAAAAATTAACATCTATTGGGCCACACATTCTTGCTGACATTTCAGAGTCATTCATCATGACATCATTTTCTTTTCTTATCTGCCATAAACTTGCCATTGCATCATTTTGGATGCCTTGAATCATCTGAAAGCATTCACCTCATAAAACTATCTTGATAAAAATGAATGGCTGGGTTGGAAGGCAAGAAATTTAATAAATAAGTAAACTGTGACATGGCAGATATTTATTTTTTATTAAAGAAACCCATTTCTTTTTTTCAATGCCTTTTTATTCAAAGTACAGCGTTGTGCCACTGGTTGAAAGGGGCTTTAAATCCATGTGGACATCATCGCAAACTAAGCTTTTGTTGTTGATATAGTTTCAAATATTTCTTCACTGACATAATACGCTACCCAGGCAGTATAGTGGTTAATGATACCAACTGCTATACTAATAGGCTCAGGTTCGAATTTCGAAGAAGGCATGCATGTTTTTAACCATGTAGTGTCTGTGCAACAAAGGAGCATTCAAACTACATGGAAGTAAAACGTCCTCTTGAATGGTTAGTGGCAGGAGAAGAAGGCTGGAAGATGCTCAAACCACCTCTGGGATGTTCTTCAAAAATGGGATGGAAGCTTAACAGTTAGTGAGGCCTGGTTAACCTAATGTAAACTTATGCAAATACACAAGTGCTGGCTTTGCTTCAAACTCTGTAGAATTAATATGCTTTTCTAATCAGCAATGTTATATAATATACAAGTGTGCTGCAACCCTCCTGGCCGATAATAATCAGCCTCATGATTAACGCAGCTCACCCAACACAGATTAAAACAAAAATACAGTTAAAAACATCAAGCCAAAATTCCTAGTATTGTTATATTGCCATTTATAAAGTTCATCAAATACTTTGCGAATATAAATTAGAATATAGCAGTAGAATTCCTTTATATTACCATGTTTTATCCTAACATGTTGCAATAATACACTGGTGTGCAAAAATGAAGGACGAAGTCAAAAAATTAGCATATCAGCTGAACGAAGAGGCAGAGCGGACAGAAAGACCAATCAGGAGATTAAGTAAGGTGATGTATGGTAGCACATGCGCAGATATGCAGGTAGACGTAATGGGAGAGTGTCTGAGTAGTATAAAGCATGTTGTCAGTGTAAGATCAGTATTTCTGGCAAAGAGATTGCACGTCGTACAGCAGTTAAAATCACACCGAGTTGCTGCCTCAGCGAGAAATGGCGAATAATCAATCTGTTAGACGACATCTGGATGCTTTTACCCGAGGTCGAATCATTGGGAAGTTGCAGGAAGGCCACAGTGTGACAAGTGTGGCTGCAGAGTTCGGAATTGCTCACAGCATCGTTTCACGACTTTGGAGACAATTTCAAACTACAGGAACAGCTATCCGGGGGTTTAGTAGTGGTTGTCCACGAGGAACCACACCCGCAGATGACCGGTATATTGCCTTACAGGCCAGAAGAAACAGGCGGCAGACAGCGGGAGAAATCGCTAGACACACGACACAGGCGACTGGACGACCAATATCACGTTTTACCATGGCCAGAAGACTGCACGGTGGTGGTCTGTTTGCACGACGCCCTGTACGGTGTGTACCTCTAACGCCTGCCCATTGGAGAGGGCGTTCTCTGTGGTGCCGGGAACACCGGAATCGGAGAAACAATTAATGGGGACGAGTACTCTTTACAGATGAGAGCAGATTCAGTCTGAGTAGCGATTCTCATCGCATACTCATCTGGAGAGAGCGGGGAAGCCCCAATCATCCCTCGAACATCATTGAAAAAGACAGGTATGGAGGTGCCTGTGTTCTCATTTGGGGAGGCATCATGCTTGGTAGTCGTACAGACCTTCACATCTTCGATGCAGGTTCAGTCAACGGGACCCGTTATTGTAATGAGATTCTTCTTCCATATTTGCGTCTTTTTAGAGGCGCTATGGGTCCGCAGTTTCTTTTTCATGGACAACAATGCACCATGTCATCACACAGTAGCTGCCGAACAGCTCTTAGAGAGTGAGGATATTGAACGTATGGATTGGCCGGCACGATCTCCAGATCTCAATCCTATCAAGCATGTATGGGATTTTTTAGGCAGACGCTTGGCAGCTCGTACCTTACCACCAGTAACGATTCCGGAGCTTCAATTGGCGCTGCAAGATGAATGGGCAGCAATGCCTCAACACTTCATTGACACCCTCATTCTCAGCATGGGCAGATGCTGTGAAACCTGCCTAGCAGTCAGGGGAGATCATATCCCCTATTAAAGACCGGATGTTTCTTGCTGGACACCTATCACAGGGATGTTTCGGCCTTCAGTTGCATTGCGCTCCATGCTACTTTTTCAATAAAGCTTCTTTTTATCCCTCTGATTTCTCTTTTTAGTAAGTGTTACATTACTCATGTCCTTATGTATTGGGGATCTTATGGTATTAAATGTGTTGATGTGGAAAGCTTTTGTACAAAGTTATATTGAAAAAATCTTTTCGTCCTTAATTTTTGCACACCAGTCTTTGATGAACTTGTTGTGCATTGCTTTCAGCACTATAAAGACTATTATTTTGCAAATTAAATCTTTTCAGGTACCTCAGTAAGCACTCATGTCCAGTAATTATTTGATTGTATGATAACCCTGATCAGTATAATGGTTAGTTACCATGTCTGCCATATCATTGGGTCCAGGTTTGAATCCTGGAGAAGGCATGGATGTTTGCAAGTATATGATGTCTAAATGGGGATATTTAAAATATTGGCAATTCAAAAGTCCTCTTGAGGTTTGGTGGTAGGGAAAGAGGGATGGGAATTCTTAGTTCCATCTCCTGGGATGTTGTCCATCAAAATTGGAATAACTAGTGGAGCAATTCTGATAGCTTGTCCTATTCTGCCTGTACTTGTAGACATAATGCTATGCCCTATAAAAACCAAATGTTTTTTATTTTAAGTTTCAGACACTTGACATTTCTGCAAATGATTTGAACAGAATGTGTGTCACTCTAAAATACATTTTTGCAAAGCCAGATTTGACTTAGAATTATGTCCTGAGATAAATTCTGGAACTTATATTGCTTTAAAATACTTTTGCACATAGCCAGATTTGGCTTAAAACTACCTCCTAAAATAAATTTAGAACTTATGTTGCTGTGTAGTGTCTTGAAGACTGTATCTATTGACTGTGGCACAGAATGATAACTGCACAGAATGCACTGTATTTATTTATATCTTTCTATCCTACATTTTTACTTTTACTGGAAACATGCTCACTTGAATATATGTTTTATAATTTTCAGAATCAATGACTGTTTGTACGTTTGACATGAGAAGTAAACATTCATGTATATTTCAGTCAAGTTAATGCTATTTTATTGAAAATTTGTATGTGTTTATTTTAGTATAATTTTATTTATTATTATATATTTTTATTTATTATTTCTGCATAGATTGCCTTAGCTAAGGCAAATTGTCAAGGCAAGAATCTGTCACTAGTTATCCAAGATTTGCTTCAAGGAGAAGGTCCAGGTTTAGAAAGTGGAGATTCAGCTGAAGTTAAATACATAGGTTGGCTACTGCAAAATTATTCATTTGGCCAGGTAAGTGCACCCTCTGACCCTCTTCTTTTTTTTCCCTTTGCATTTTCTTTGTAAACAATATTAAGTATCTAATGCAAATACATATTGAAATGTTTATTTTTTAGTACTGAATTTAAGTAATTGTCTTCACATCTGAATATTAATTCATGTCTTCCTTTTAAGGTTTTTGACAGCAATATGAGTTCAGAGTCATTTTTCCGTGTGCGTCTTGGAAAGAGTAAGGTAATTAAGGTATGTAAGAAAGAATTATATGTGCCCTATATTTTACCTTTAGTTATTAGTAACTAATAACCAGTGGAGTAACTAGAAATTTTGGGCCCGTGAGCAAAACTTAAAATAAGTATCTATCTATATATATATATATATATATATATATATATATATATATACACTAAATATCATATATAATCAAAAAATTTATTAACAACAAAAACACACAGAAACAATCTAAATAAATGTAAATAATTAAAAATGGGGGGGGATGTTAAGTTTCAGTTGCAGTAAAAAGGGATTTATGAAATACATAAGCAGAGTAGTCGTTTGCATGCTGTTGATGTTATTTTTTAGATCAATTTTACTTGTCTCTTCATGCTCAATGGCAAGAATTAAAAGAGAGCTTGTGTTTGTCCATTTCTATTTCTTTTGTAATCTTTAATCATTTTCAGCATTGAAAATTATCTCTATACTGCAGCAACAGTTACAGGAATCATTAAGAAAAGTGAAAAGATATTTCGTATGCCTTTCACCAAAGTTGCTCTCTCCAGTGAGTGATATTTTTTTTTAACATCAAGCTCTGAAACATTTGAATGCGTATACATTATTTCATTAAGATCATTTTTACTCAAATATAAAGCATATAATTTGTAAAGTAAATTCTGTTGACAATATTTCAAAATAAATATCTACTAAATTGTCGCATTTTTATATTAATTCAGTTTCTTTAGCATAGTTTTCTTAACAGAGTTTCAAAAAACCAAATTGGTCTCTCACATTTGTCATGCCAGCAAGTTGATAATTTATTTGAATTAAAATAATGTCTAAAATGTGGGAAAATGCATTTACTTTTAAATATTCTTCATGGGATTAAAATTTATGATGCATCAAAAACTCATCAAGGATATTTTGTCTTTTGGTTAGAAATTCTGAAATAATATTCCCTTTTATTTTTTGCCATTTGTTTCAATTCTGTCAAAATAAGTTCAAATTCATTTTCATAGTTTCTTTATATTTATGTAGGTGTTATTTAAAGTTTGTGTAACTTAGTCTACACATATATTAGTACTCTGTAATATTTTTTAAATACAGTTTATTTCATTTATCACTTTTTGCATAAAAGGTAAGAATAACAATAAATTCAAAACTTGCTATTTTTATTTTTATCTGCAGCACTTCTTCTTCTTCTTCTTCTTCTTTTTTTTTTTTTTTTTTTTTTTTTTTTTTTTTTATTGTGGATTTTAGTTTAAACTTTCTAAAAGTGATCTTAATGTAATTTTACTGCATTTAATGAGGTAATCCTACTTTATCAATGAGCTGGGTTGCATTTTTTTAAAGATATTTCCGATTTGGCTATAAAATTTGTTAACATATCCCATCAGTTTATACTTTACCCCCAAAATCAATCTATATTTTGAAACATATTGAAAAATAATGTCATTTTTTTGCAGCATGTAAGTTCTTTTGTCAAACGTAAATGTGCTTCTGTTGGAAATGATAATCAGTAATCATAGGACTAAAACTTGCATCACAAATTCCCTTCATTTTCTTACAACTTTTAATATAATATCTCTAAAGGCTTTTCATAATTCACATCTAAATGCATTTCATGCAATCTAGTATAAGAAAAAATGCTTTTTTACTTCCTTGTACGAAGTAAAAAGGAAGTATTGTAATTGCGAAAAGCTTCAGGCAGCATATTTCAACGAAAATATCCACTTTGACCGCTTTCGAATGCAATTTAACGTTGTTTTTCCATGATATCTGTACGTAAGGACAGAATAAAAGACTCTTTTCCTCCAAAAAAAACTAAAAAACTGCTTTAAAATGAATTCTGAAGAGAAATTTCGTGGCGTCTGAAGGAACGTATGTATGTACGTATCTCGCACAACTAAAAAAATGAGTAGCCTCAGAACGTTGAAATTTTGTATATAGGACTACTATAGCATGTAGATGTGCACCTCGTATTTTGGTTGCAATCTGCCGCGCCACACGTATATAAATATATTTATATATATATCCACTCTGTTACCCGGCTCAGTGATCTCAGTTTCTTTACTCTTATATGTTTGTAAATTGTACATTTTTTGCTTTAAAAATGATTGTATTATGTTGTTTTTTATCTTCCGGTTAAGGTTTTTAAGCCTTTAGTAAATCTGTATGCAATATTTTTAGAATTATCAACAATTTTAAAGTTGTTTAAGTGCGGCTAAGCCTTTTTTTTTATGGCGGTCATTTATTGTGTACATTTGAAACAGCAGACTAGTGGATTTGTTGTCAATCTAGAGAAACTTAGCTTCGCAACAACAAAGATAACACCTTCATTTATTATTTAAATCATGCTTAATCCTTTCTGGAATTTTTTCGAGGAAATAAGCGTTTAAGATTTACTTCGTAATTTTTAATACAGATATTTTGAGTTTTTATGTATTTTTGCCTTGTCGCGAAGTGAAAAACTGAATTAATTGAATGAGAAATACTCAATCGTCTGTGAAAAACTGTTTCTTTTTTTTTGTTTGCTTAATTTCTTTTATACATAGTTCTAGCTTTATTATAGTATTTGAATAGAACATGTGGCAACGATTAGATAATTCTTTAAATGATATAAATTTTGTGCATTCTGAGTTATAATATGAACGAAATATAATACTGTTAAGTAAACCTAGTGCCAGAGTGTCGCTATGGTAAACAAAGTGAATTTTAAAGAATGCATTTATTCTATTGTGGTTTATGCGCTGTTAAAGGTTAAAGGCTGTTATTAAAGGTTTAATTCAATCTAATAAGTTTAAATGAAATGCAAGAAAAAATGCGTATAATTTAATATTCCGTACAAGGAAGTCGTGGTGTACACATCAGATTTTTTCTCTAAGAGTATGTTACATGTGGCTTAACAGGACCTTGAGCCATACTCAGCAGAATTTAATTGGCATCACAGTATGGGAAATGCGATACAGATATATGATTACCAGAAAATAAGTATAAGAGTGGTGTGCAAAAAAAAATAAATTTAATTTTTTAAAATTAAATTTCTGAAACAAAATTTTGTGTAAATAAATTTAACCTTTTGTTGCATCATGTCCACTCTAGTAGACAAAAGTTTAAATTTGTTATGCCTTAACAGATTCCATTCCTGTGTTTATTCATTCTATATCATTAGAACTTTCAACTGTCGATCATAGATGGCTGTATAGCATCACTAAGTAAAGCATTGCTATTTGGAAAATGGCTGCTACTTCTGTTTCCAAGTTAATACAATTCTCATAGTAAACATTATATAATTTTGTTTTTATCTTCTTATATTGTCATTTTTTATTCATAATTAGTAATTTTAGACAATTTCCTTTAAATGTCAGTTTGAGAAAATTGTGGAGTGGGTAGATAAAGATCTACCGAACAGAGTGAGTTGAAACCCAAATGTACTGCTTATCAAGCCAAAATACCACTGGAAATGTTTATATTTGGCAAGGAATTTCTAGAACATTTGACATTTGAATTCAATAGGTATATGTTACAAAATCATAGCAAAATGAATTCATTCACAATCGACGAAATGAAGGTATTTTGGAGGATCTGTATGTACATGTCAGTTGTAGATTTGCCATTTAGAAGATGGTAATGATCACTGCAAACAAGGCAGGAAATGATTTCAAATGCAATGACCGTAAATCATTGGGAAGAGATTTGTTAGCATGTACGTATATTCGTGCTGTCCACTGTAGTGAACAAACTGTAGCAATTATTTAAAACGCAATTTGAATAAAATTATTTGTTATTATTATTACTAAGGTTATTTTAAGTAGAAAAAATACAAACATTTTCGTTTAACTTCTGTAGATTATTTGTATGCAACAAAGGGTTAAGTATAATGTATAATGTTTTGGGGGGTTGCAATTTTGTTTTTCCATTTTATTTTCTGCTTTGCAGTTTTGTACTTGGTGATTTCCTTTCATAGTGATTAGTATAAAAAAAAAGAAAAAAATATTTTTAAAAGTATGTTTTCCTGTTTTAGGTCATTATTTGTTAATATAATTAATATAAGAGGCATATTTCCTGTATTTAGAAAAAATTTACCATGTTGTTGTGTCATGAAAAAGATCCAAAATGTTAATGTGTTCTTTATTAAAAAAGCAGTAATTTGTTTTAGGGATGGAATGAAGGTCTTTTAGGTGCTCAGAAAGGCTGCAAACGTCTGTTGATTGTGCCTCCTAATTTAGCATATGGTTCAGAAGGTATGGGCAATACCATACCACCACATTCCACCTTAATTTTTGAAATTCATGTAGTAAAAGTAAGTAAAATCTAATTTATACATGTGGTAATGTTTAAATAATATTTTAAATATAGTTATATTTATAATGCTGTATTAAAAGTAGTTTTACTACGAGGGCCATCCAGGAAGTAGATTACGTTTCCGTCTGTGTCCGCTAGGGGCGGGGCTAGCGCGGCCATCTTGGGGTCAGAGCGTTGCGCAGCTCAGTCTGCATCTAGCCGTGCTAGTGAGAGGTTCGTGCTGTGCTCCGTTCAGATACTGTGACGGTTTGAAATGTCTGCGTTAATTGAAAATCCCGCGAGCTGCGAGGTGCGCTCAGTAATAAGGTTCTGACTGCAAAAAACTGTAAACCGATAGAAATCTATCGGCAGCTTCGTGAAGTGTATGGGGACAACTTTATCACTGAAGGTGGAGTGCGTCAGTGGGTCATAAGATTTCAAAATGGCCGAACCAATGTTCACGACGAAGATCGAAGTGGGAGACCCAGCATAGTGACCGCCGAACTTCTCGAAAAAGTCGATGCTAAAGTCCGTGAAAATCGAAATTTCACAATAACGGAACTTTGAGTTTTCCACAAATTTCGCAAAGTTTGTTGCACGAAATCATCAGCGAAAAGCTTGGTTACCACAAGTTTTGTGCAAGATGGATTCCAAAAATCTTGACAGAGGACCACAAAAATCAGCGAATGGCTGCAGCGTTGAACTTTTTGGACGCTTACCATAAGGATGGTGACTCTTTACTCGATCGCATCGTTACTGGTGACGAAACATGTGAACTGTGAAACGAAATTGCAATCAATGCAGTGGGGGAACACAAGTTCTCCCCAAAAACCCAAGAAATGCATGCAAACAATGTCGGCAAGGAAGATGATGGCGACTGTTTTTTGGGACAGAAAAGGTGTAATTTTGGTGGACTTCCTGGAAAGAGGCACTACAATAAACTCTCAAAGGTATTGCCAAACTCTCCAAAAAACTCAGAAGAGCAATTCAAAACAAGCGCAGAGGAATGTTGAGCTCTAAGATCTTGTTGATTCACGACAACGCCCGGCCCCACACGGCAAATGTCACTCGTAAAGTTCTTGAATCTTTTAAGTGGGAGTTGTTTCCCTCATCCGCCGTACAGTCCCGACCTGGCACCGAGCGACTTCCACCTATTCCCAGCAATGAAGAAGTGGCTGGCTATGCAGCGTTTCGATGACGACGCACAGCTGCAAGAAGAGGTAACGAAGTGGTTTGAAGGCGCAGGCGGCCGAATTTTTCGACGAAGGAATTTCCAAGCTCGTACATCGCTACGATAAATGCCTTAATTTGTATGGTGACTATGTAGAAAAGTAGTATTTGAGTGTGGCTTTCATCTGTATATAATAAAATTTGTTTCCTATACTTTGTTTATTTTTTTATTCCAAAACGTAATCTACTTTCTGGATAGCCCTCGTATTTATCCTTTGCATTTACTGTACAGCAGTATCCAAGCTGAGCATTGCATGTGGTAATGAAATTTATAACAACTTTATATGCTTTTATTTTTATAGGTTAAAATTTCTCGAGATGCCTCTCATTCTCCTAGCCCAGTTAAAGTTTCTGATAACATTGCAGAAAAAAAACCTGAAGTTCCACCTCGCCATTCTATATCGTAAGCATCTCTATGTATTCATTTTTAATGAAATGCTGAACTTATTTGTTATGCATTGTAGCATTTTTGAAGAAATATCAAGTCTTATTTTCTTAAAAATTTTGCTAAATTTTAATATTGTAATCTTATGTCTTAATTTTTATTACATAAAACTAAACTTTCTGTTTTGACTTCCTCTGATGTTACTTAACTATTGTAATTGACAGTGTACCATAAGGGTATGAAGTCTGAAAATGAATTTTGAGAATGCTTCAAATCTAATACATTGCTTGTCTGTCTTTTTTTCCCCTAATATATGGTTCCTGTACCTTATGAAAGAAAAGTTCTTGAAAAATTAAACATCATTTTAATAATGCTTGAAAGTATTTAAATATTAACTGCTAATCTTGAATAGTTCTAAATTTTTTTAAATCATATTTAGATCCAAAGAAAGTCATTTTGTGAGAAAAAGGGGGAAGTTCAAAGTAAAAGAGTTCATCATTCTTTATTTTATTTATTATTACTTTCTGCTCTGCTACCGAATTTCCTAACTATTTGATTACTGGAAATTTCATGTTCGAGCCTGTTTTAATTTTTTCTTGAGGACATCCTTTGTCAGAAAAGTTCCTGGCCATTCTTTTTATTATTAATATTTCTGAGTTTGGAGTACTAAAAAGGAACAAATGCTGTTTTTATGTTACTTGGTATGTATTCTTACTTGACATGACCTTTGCCGTGTTTCCACGCACACTTACGAAGTGGTATGGCTGTGCATAGCAACACAGTGTTCAGATTGCATTCATTAAGGTGACGCAATGTATTTTGATTGCAAGCAAAGAGTGAACATTAAGTTCTGCTTTAAGCTAAAAAAAATTCCCAGTGAAACGTGAAACATGATTTAGCCAACATATGCAAGTGAGGCACTTTCAAGAAGTCTTGTTTTCGAGTGGCACAAAAGGTTTTGTGAAGGCAGAGATTCAGTGCAAGATGATCTCACAGCTGGTCATCAGTCTATAGCACATACCAACACAAATGAGGTACTTGTAAGGCAGTTATTGTAAGAAGACCATTGTGTAGCTATGTGTATGATATCAGAAGAACTGAATTTGAATCGTGATGTGTGTCAAAAGATTTTACGCGAAGATTTAGGGAAAGAGAAATTTAATGCAAGAATCATCACTCACTCACTAACAGATGAACGGAAAGACGAAGAATTTCTGCTAAAGTATTGGATAGAGTTAGATGTGATCCCACATTTGTGTCAAAGATTATTGTGATTTTTCCTAGTTTCCACGGGTAACTGAAAAGCTTTGTCAAGATTATTGCAGACATCCAACGGGCTGTGGCAAATGAGCCTGCAATCATCGCAACTGATGATTTTCCTGCTTAATTCCAATACCTCCAGAAACATTGGCAGTTGTGTAAAAATAACCAAAGAGGACTATTTTTATAGCAACTAGGATCATTGGTTGGCAAATGCAATTGTCTATTTTTTTTTACGACCTTTTCCTGGAACTTTTCTGGCAAAGGATGTATGTATGTATATATATGTGTGTGTGTAGATAGGTAGGTATTATATTGTGTCAGATGTCATTATAAATTTTGCTTGAGATTGGAATCAATCTCTGAACTTAATATGCTGCAAGTCATTAACCCATTAACCGCCAAAACTACAAGGAATGTTTCTTTTCTCATGAAAATAATAACAAATATTAAATTAAGCATTTATAACATAAATTTAGATTGAAAATGAAAAAAATGCTCTTACCTGTGGAAAAAGCGAGTGTTGTCGCGCAACATCAGCGGAATAAGACTACGGATGTTTAATGAGTAGGATAGTACTCGTGTGAGTTTTTTTGTTTGAGTGGAGCGCAGGATTACTTTTTAGCTGTATAACGTTTTATAAATCTACAAATCACTTTACTTGTAATTAATTTAATATTAAAATATACATTGTAATTCTTTTACAAATACAGATTATTTCAATTGAAAGATTCATATGAAAAGCTTGATTACAATCATGATGTAAAGCTACATTACATACTTTGCATCTATAAACAGCCTGGCTATGGTACTCTTTACAACAAAGTCTTTTGTTATCAACGGACTTTACGATAAAATGTCTACCATCTCCATGCAATGGTTTTTGAATGCTGAATGTACTAGGTCTTCCTGCTGCTGATCTCTTTCTGGCTAATTCTACATTTTCAGTAGGAGTTTTCAAAAGGAATAATGCATTCTCGCGTCTGAAATCTAAAAGAGACTTTATATTTCCAGTAGTAAAAAGGGGTGATACTTAGTAAGTTTAGATATGGTCTCACTTCATATAATTTATCAGTATTGTCAATTTGACTATTTTCAAATGTAAATTATGCTTCATATTCCTGTACTGCAAACGTGATATCGATTCTCGTACAACAGGAACGGAAATGTCCGTATCAAAAGACCAATACATTTTTTCTTGAGGTAAAGAATGATATCCTGTAAGCGATAATATTCCAATAAATCTTTTCATATAGGCTTCAGATGCAATAAATTCTGCTGAGCATATATATTTGTCTGTTCAACGAAAGAGCGTAAATGTCTAAACCAAAAAGAAAATAAAAAATCTTTGCACTAAGTTTCAGAGATTACCTTGTGTTTTGTCTTTTATAATTTCTCGCTATCTCTTTCTTCATGTTTCTTCCTGAGACATAACTAACAGGTTCCTTTTCTTATCCACTTTCAAGATTTTCAGTCTTTCTGCTTTTTAGACTTTTTCGTGTGACTACAACTGCTTTTAGGAAGGCTGAAACTTACTTCTTACGTGAATTTTCAACTTCCCCAGCAGTATCATTTGGTAAAAAAATATCATATCATTATTTAAACGTTGTCATTCCCTTCTTCTTCGTCACTAAGCTTCTTCAATTTCTGGGGGGAACAACATAACAATATTAGTTTCATTCTGGTCATTATTAACATTATCATCATCTGTTTCTTCAATCAAAAAATCTTTGAAGGGCTTCTTCTAATATAAGATACCTCATTCTAGGCATTTTTAAACAACCAGAACATGAACCATAACATCGAAAGGAATGAGTGAAAAAGGAGATTGACTGCCCATTTCCTGCTGACGTTGCGTCAGCGCAACACCTGTTTTCCCTTCCTTCCCAACACAGATATAAACATCTTACTGATGCAATGTTCTGCTAAACGATGACCTTGACTAAAAATAGATCACTCATAAAGACGGCGATTCTTTCGTTAAATATTTTCAGCAAAAATACCCGGTCGAAAATTTTGCTTAAAGTATGAGATTAATTATTATAAACAAAAGCATTGTTAAAGGCAAATATTTTTTTACAGAAATAATCTTCATAATATTCCCTACACAAAATCATCTGCTGGTATAAAATATCTTAAGTAGTTATATTTATATGTGGATTTATTTTGACCGTTGCGTCAACGCAACACCAGCGGCTAATGGGTTAAGCCTTGAGTTTACCAGTTTAATCAGTTTAATTTTTATTCAGGCCTGAATTTTTGCATCTTTTGTGAAAAAATGGGTGCAGATTTATATCTTAATGAGATTTAGTAATATAATATCTACATACACATTATACTTTTGAATTATTAATTAAATGATTATTTTGTGATTAATATTGTTGAGGTTATTGCATGTGAGGTGATTTTACAAATAATTGTTTTAGTGTCCTCTCCTCCCTTCAAAGAATGAAATTCATATATTTATATTGTACTGTCTTCCTAAATAAAATCCCTTTATGCATTTTATTGGTCTTCTTAACATCATTTTATTGGTCTTCTTAACATCATTTTATTGGTCTTCTTAACATGGTTACTGCTTGCTGCTGGAGTTACTTTTGATCAAATTAGCTAGTGTTTTCTTAGTACTGAAATTTGTGTGTATTAAATTTCATGTCTTAAGCAGGTCAGAATTATGTAGCTTTGTTACAATAAAATGACTATTTAAAGCATTTTCAATAATTCAATATTTGAGAGCATTTGAGCATTTGGTTTAAATGATTATTTTAGCTTGTTAGGAGCAGTTACTTTCAACTCAAGATTTCACTACTTAATTCAACTTTTTTTTTAAATTATTGTTTTTTTTTTTTAATTAAGGCAAGAAGATAATATAAGAATGAGAGGTGCTTCAATATCTGAACAATTAACCCAAGTAAAAAATTTTTTTTTGCTATCAAAATTGACGTAATATTTTTAAATGTTAATTCTGTGATTTGTATGCTCATTTGCAGTTTTATTAATATGCAATTTAGAATTTTTTTCTATTTTTTTATTTGATACTTTTGATAATGTGAAAAATGTATTAAAAATATTATTTGGTTTTTAATCCGCATTTGAAACATGAAAATCGAATATTTTTTTTTTTATTTCATTCATGCATTTAATTTGCAGAGTCCCAAGAAGGACAAAGCTCAGCTCATATCTCGTATGGCAAAAATGGGAACAGCAACTCTACCTTTCCAGGGAGCAGTTGCAGCTCAAGTCAGTAGTGATTCAGAAAATGAGGTAATTTGAAACATGAACTCATGCCAGTGGTCAAAGCATCTGATATCTACTATACTTACATATCTGATATCTACTATACCTATTTTCATATTTAATTTCTCTCTGCTTTGCTTTCAATAGTATTCCGTTTTTATTAGCAACAATTTATTGCAACTTTCCTAGTCAGAAATTTTCTCTTTTACAGTACAAGGGCTAACGTAAAAGTAGTAATGTTCCAGTTTTTCTAAGCTTAAGAGAATGTTTCTTGTTCATTAGTGAGAAAGTAAAAATTCTTGGTATTGTAGAAATAGAGGAGAAAAATGTGGTGTATTTGTTGTAAAGTTGCTGGGGTTTATTGTAAGAATGAACCTTCAGTTCATGAAGTGTTGAAGAATAAGGAAAAAGTTCATGGTACTTTTTCTAATTTGCCACAAACTGCAAAAGTTGCTGCAATAACATGATATAAAATGCTAATGAAAGTGGAAAAAGCATTGCATTTTTGGTTTTTCTTCAGTTTTGAAGGATGATCCTTATCCAAGGTTCCTCAACTCAATACAAGCACACCATTATCCTACTTCCTTTCCTCATTGCAAATATTGTGCTACCAACACATAACTTTAGATGTTTGCTGAATGCCACAATAATATAAAAATATTTTCCAAAAGGGAAATTTCATTACTGTATGTTATGTACAAGTATGCAGAAATAATTTTCATTGTGAAACTTGCTATAAATTATTTTTTTATTGCTGTATAGGAAAAAGATTTTTGTTCCTGCCATAATAGTTCATTGTAAATCTTTCAAGCACTGTGTGTCTAATTTCTGACTGGATTGCCATAAATTTTCAGATTCTTTTATCTAATATACTCAAGTGAGAGAAAAAGTGGGCTATAGCATAAATTTTGCATTTCTTTATTAACAATATAAGATAATAAAGTAATGCAAAATTTCACATTTTATTATCACTAATTAATAATACATTTTACTATCGCATATCTTATACATTTTATTATCACATATCTTATACATTTTATTATCATTACTTAATAATGTCTTACTACTCCAAATTCATTAACTTTCACTGAATTTCTGTATATTACATGAATATCATATATCTGTAGTTTGACCTGGAATGCATTACTCATGGATATGGGGGGTACTTCTAGTAGATTTTGCTAATATTAAATTTACTGATGAGTAGATTTAGTTTCCACCAGGTGTTGAGTGGATGCAAATGCTAGAAACTGGTAATATGGCCCTTATTTGCTACCTTGCAAATAGTGGGCTGGATCGGATTTTCATTGTTTTCTTTATGCATAATGTGATTATGAACCAGCTTCTTTAGGACAGGGGTTCTCAATCAGGGGTATCCCCCCTTGGAGAGTGGAAATGCTGTCAGTCCTTTATTTAGATGTTAAGTATTTAGTTTTAGTTTATGAATGCAAAAAACTATTTTTCTTTACATTTTTGTTTTTATCAATATTTTCTGTATTTTTTGTTTAATTTATAAAACATATTTAAAAATAATCTGAATAAATCTATATATGTATTTTTCTAGTTTTGGAAGGAAGGGGGCTATGGTGAAGCATCTTCTAGGTATGGTGAAAGGGGTGCATGGGAACAAAACATGTTGAGAGGGAGGTTAATACTAAAATCAAATATTGAAATACATAGTTAAAATCATATATAAACTTGTCTTGCTGTGTACTTCCTTAGCTCTTTGAAATCCAAACCCTTCGCTAATCTATATCCTTAAAAAACCGAACGGCCAAAAATACTTTTCCAGTTTCACAGCAATTTTCCTATCCTCCCTGTCCATTAACACAGAAATAGGTGTGACAATTTTAAATTACATCCTTTCTACTTTCTAACAAAGATTCCATTAGCCTTTGACCCTGTTCTTTATAAACCTATTCTGAAGGTCAAACCAACAAGCCTCTCTTGCCTTTTTTATGATCACGACTGAGATTTTGTTTACTTCTGTTATTTTTTATATGAAGGAATAAATTGATTAAAATAATATAATCCTTAAATTTTTAAATATCAATTTTATTGCTGTTTAAAATGTATGATAAAATAGCTTTGGTTTAAAGAGTAGGTATTTTATCATAATTCTGTTAAGTACTGAAATATTTCTGGGTTTTTATAAAGGATATAAAAATGGACCCCATTAAGCAAACTACATATATTATTAGTATCATATGTAACATAAATATGGGCCAGTTTCCATTGGGAAAAAATCATGTCCATACTTTTGCCAATCCTCAAGTAGATAGATACCTCTTGTACTTTGCCATATACAATAGGCTCCCTAACACCCCATGATGAATAAAATATAAATAAATAATTTTCTTTCCTTAAATTTAATTTTTACAGGAATTTCTTGTTTTTTCTTTTATTAAAGAGGATTAAGATTTCACTTCATGTACGTTCTTTTTTTGCAAATTAAGTTGCTATTTTTTAGTTAAAGTTATGTGTTACTTTTTCATTTTATTGTATTTGACTTTGTTGTTCCTTTTCCAAAAATAATGAGGGTCTTTGTATTTGTTGATGAGTCGTTTGATATCCTTTTTCTGAGGAATAAACCTTAGTTATAGACCTTTTTTATGATTTTTTTTATTGTATGAGTTTCAAAGTGCATTTATAAATGTCATTGTTTTTCCAAGTTTTCATTTATTTAGTTATATATGTATATTATTATTTCTGCATATATTATAGGTAAATATGCATGTGCATTATCACTCATATGAATTTGTAGGACATATGCATACATAAATGTGTCTATTTTTATACACATATTGCTGTTTACTGCACATTTATACATGTTTTTGTGATGATGCAATAATGTTTTCACCTTTTTTAAATTGGGTGCTGTTCTGTAATTGGAACTGGATCAGAAATATATGCACGTGTGGTAGGAAAAAGCATATATGTGTCTATGTATATACATACATACATTCGTACTTACATATATATATATGTATACACACATCCATATACATTTTGAATTTGGTCCTGATAAAAGAAGTGTACCTGAAATTGTATAGCCCTGTAAAAGCGCCTTTTTTTTTTTTTTTTTTTTTTTTTTTTTTTTTTTTTTTTTAGTAACTGAAATTTGAAGCCCAAAAGCATAATTTGCATAAGCACATTTCTACATATATCACACTCCTAAGAACTTTCAATGTATCTCTCAGAGTTTTTTTCCTGATCCTTTACATGAAACACAAGTGAGTTTATGATCATGAATTGCAATGGACGAAGATATGCCTAAGGTTCATTTTCAAAACGAATATTGTGATGTGGATTCTTCAATCGAGTCTAATCTAAAAATCATACAGCTGCTTTGGTCTTTTTAGGATTGGATAATTAGTGACTCTGTAAACCATAAAGGTGTTTTTCACTGCTGTGTGTAAAAGGAACCAAAATATGTACATTCACATTTTGAGGATTTTCTAGAAGCTGAGTAATATTTTCGATGTTGATCTAATGAATCTACTCCTCCCATATTCTTATTGTACTTGACAAATGTGGGTGGGCATGGTACTATCTGATTTTTGGAGCCTTTTCTTCTTGTAGTAAATCTTGGTTCATATTTACAGTTCGTGGAAATGATATGTATCAATTTTTTACCAAACCAGGATGAATAAAGTAAATTCAGCAGGCTTTTGCATTGCATTAACTGCCTGTTGTATTGATTTCAGAGCTTCATTTGCTTGATGTTCTCAGGCATGTTTTTCCAATTTGTCATCACAGTTCCATGTGATAATTGTCCAGATTTGTATAACTCAAAAGTTATACAAATCTGGATAATTCACCAGCATAGACTTGACAAAATCGAATTTGTTAAGTCTACGCTGGTGAAACATCTGTCAAAATAGATTTTATGGGCCAAAAATACTTTTCCAGTTTCACAGCAATTTCCTATCCTCCCTGTCCAATAACGCAGAAATAGGTGTGACAGTTTTAAATGACATCCTTTCTACTTTCTAACAAAGATTCCATTAGCCTTTGACCTTGTTCTTTATAAACCTATTCTGAAGGTCAAACCAACAAGCCTCTCTGGCCTTTTTTATGATCACGACTGAGATTTTGTTTACTTCTGTTATTTTTTATATGAAGTTTTTAAGTGCTGTTATTAAGTGCATAACTATGTCATATCCTAAACCCTTTCTGACCTTGGTATCTGATCTTTTTTACCACAATAATCTTCAAAGGTGTAAGTATATCCAAAGCGAGATGTGCAGAGCATTCATATTTTTAATCCACACTTAACTGGTTTCATAGGCATATATTGCACAATCCCTAATCTACCATTAAATGTAATTAGCATTTTGTCAATTGATCCTTCAGTATAACGTGCAAAATGTTGCTGAAATTTGTTTCTTAAATATGAAATGATGGGCTCTAATTTTTGTGCATATGTAAAGTTCTCTTCTCTATTTTTAACTTCAGTTTCCCAATCTGACAAATGAAAATAATTCTTGATTTCCCAAAATCTCTTTCTGCTCATCATTTTCTTCACCATTTCATTTCCAAGCATTGTGTTACTTGACCAATAATCACTTATTCTTAGTAATTTTACAATACTCATTATAAGAAGGTCTGTAATGAATGCCCACATTTCTTTTATAGATGAAATTTTTTCCCATTGAAGATCAAGTGCCACACTTTCTTGCACAGAATTCAGCCTATTGATTTGTATTTATGTGAATTAATTCGCAAATTTCATCTGTAAGAAACAACTTTACATATTGTAAAGGTGAAGCATCAACAGGTAAAATATGAATTGGTCCCAAAAAGCTGTTAAATGGTTACACAATTACGGCATCATTGTTAACATTAGTAGACCAGGTTTTTACTGGATTCACGTTACAATTTTCTGAAACATCTGCTTCCAGATTTGCTCCATGCTCATCTTTATTTTCTGCTATAAGTAATTCTTCTTCATTATCATTTTCTGTGTCTTTCCTGTAGCCATCTTCTGAGTCCAAATCTGACTCATCTGTATCATTAAAAAATAGCCTCAATTTCTTGCTGAGTTAAACTGTGCAATATTTGCACGTTTTAATTAGAGCTTAAAAGCACAATGTACCAAAAAAGAATTAACAATGAAATATCACATGACTAAAGATAAGAAACTTCTTAGGAGGAGCTGTCTGCAGTAAACTGATACAATGCATTTAGGAAAACTGCACCTGCTACTGCATACCTTAGGGGGAGGAAAGAAAACAAGATCACAATCTCGGCCGTTTTCAGGCGGTTGTGGTCGTCTGAATGAACGATAGTGTGGGGCGGTTTGGTCATCAAAGAGTTAATCTCTACATATAATAAAACAAAGAGTCTGTCTGTGTGTGTGCCTTTCGTTCGCGCTGCATGTAAGCTAATAGACCCACGGCTACGAAATTTGGTACATAGGTGCATCTAGACAAGAGCCAGAGCACCTCGAAGCGATTTTTTTCGAAATTCGAATTCGAATTTTTTTTTATTTTTTGTGACGAAATCGCGTCATTTTGAGACCTAATGGACTATAGGAAAGCGAGATTTTACTTTACACTCTCCATTTTCCCATCATCATGAAACGTAGGTACTTAGCTATTTTACGAACTTTAAATAAATCTAATACTTAAATAAATTTCTTGTTTCAATAAATCGATTAAATACGAATTTCTTTAACAAAGGGAGCTTAACATCTTTTCAACGGGATTTTTCTAAAAAAGTTTATTTTTAAAATGTACAGTTTATTTTTCTTTGATTTTTGGACACGTGAAACTTTCAACCTTGCGACTGCTTTTACAAAAAGAATTTTGGAAAAATGATAATATTTTGTATTAAAAAAAATTGTTTAATGAAGCTTCCGAGTACACTTCTCACATCTCATATCTTTAAAAATGTGATTTTGGCAACAATTTTCCTGTCTTATTGTTGTTGATAGATTTTTGATGAAATGGCATCATATTGAATAGTTTCATTCTTTTAGAAATATGGGTTTGGCAACAATTCTTCATCGTATTTCTTATGTCACTGTTTTTATGAGATTGGCATATTTCGTTGTCATTTTTATATATATATAATACATTTTTATTGATATTTTTTTGATAAAGTTGCCCTGCAAAGTAAAATTCTGCGTGGAATTTTTTTTTTTTTTTTTTTTTTTAAGTTTTTCATGTTAATTTTTGCTTTTTTCACTGTTTGTAAGATATTGAAAAGTTTTGCATGATTTGTTTTCTTCAACGGAAAGTTGGTTAATTTTTTTTATTAGGATAATTAATATTTGTATTAAGGGATATAGCTTATTTCATTGTAATTTTTTTCTCTTGAAAATATAAGATAAAATATCATTAATTATACTTTGATTTTCAGAATTTTTGTTTTTTGTATTCTTTTATGTTATTTATTGCTTATTTCACTGTTTTTAAGATATTGAAAAGTTTTGAGTGATTTTTTTAGGAAACAAAGTTCTTAACCTCCTTTGTACCATTTGAGTTCTTAAGATTTTGCAAAGGGAAGTTGGTTAATTTATTTGTTAGGATAATTAATATTTGTATTAAGGGATATTGCTTATTTCATTGTAATTTTGTTATACGTAATAACTTTTTTTATGAAGTTGTTCTGCAGAATAAAATTCTATGCAGCTTTTAAATTTAACGTTTGGTTTTCCCTTCAGCCATTTTTCTGGTACATTTAAAAGCCAGACGAAGTCTGGCAGCGAAGCTGCTAGTAAGATCTGAAACATTAGGGACATTTACTGTCCATGATATTTCAGTTCTGTTCTGTAGCCTTCAGTGTGTAATTTGAGTAAGATTTTGACCAATAATATCTGCTGCACATTTTGGCCCATCTGCTGAGGAAACGGTCATCTTGGCCTTTCATATTGGAGGCATTAACAGTAGGCCATTAATGTTTTCTATATGAAAGTATTTTGTGAGATGAAATCAAGTAATTCGAATTAATTTTCGTTTTTATTATGTTTTTGGTTTTTATAAAGCAGTATATAACTTCAGCAGACATCATGACTTGATGCTTTGCATAAATAATTAGAAAAATTCAAACTTTATGTACCTTTAATTTTAATAAAAAATAGCTCTATAGATTTTGAACAATAATAGCATGAATCTTCCTTGTGATGAGTTGTGATGAATTTTCTTGAAAAAACATGCATTTTTGTCATTCCTTGAAATACATTAATTTTCATTCTGCTAAAATTATTAAACATACATTAAATTTTCCTGTGTACACAAACTCCTGTCTGTGGAAACCTATTGTATCTTAACCTTTATAATAATGCTTGAAATAACAAAACAGAGGTTTAAAATTAATTGCAGGGGAAAAAATGAGAGAAAGAAGAAGAAAAAGGGACAGTCATTGCATTTATTTTATATTAAATTTCATTAGGCATCTTCTTTGATTAGTTAATTGTTATGACAAAGCTTAAAAAAGCTCTGCCGTAGGAATGATATTTGAACAGAAGACTTTTAAGGCAAACAAGCATGATTTCTTGTTACATGAGGGAAAAACAGCAAAAATCCAATGCGGATGACATTTAATTATGTTTTTTACTTAAAAGTTTAACTTTTTCCTAAAGTAAGTATTATTAAAATGTTTCATTGTGTACTGTATTGATTACTCTATTATGCTTCCTTAGGAAGAAATTTCAGCTCCTCCAGTTACAACACAAAGTTCATCTAGAACATCTTCTCCAAAACCCTTTTCAAAACCTAGGTCTCGTACAAATTCTGGAACTATCACTTTTGCTCAAGTAACTCATCCTCAACCACTACCAGGTATTCTATCAATTAATAAAAATCTTTCATGTAAAAGCTGTAAATATAGTCTTATTAACAAATATCAAAAAGAGTATTTTAGTTTGAAATTTTTTAAAAAAATTGATCTTCTAAAAAGTATTGAAGAATTTTAGTATCTGTGTGGAATATTTCAGTTATTGGGTATGACAATCATGCAGAGTTTCTGTTTTGAGAAGTCTCCTGAGAATCTCTTTTGATAACTAGGAAGAATCCATGAAAGTAAAAATATGTTCAGTAGCAGGGGTCTTTGATTGGCTTTCCAAATGGAAATTTGAGAAATTGTGCAGTTTAATTACAATCATAAGCAGTTATTAGAAATACCTTGCAGAGGTACTAAAATTCTTGAGTGTTTTAGCAAATTTGTATTTTAATTTTTAGACCTTTTCTGATTAAAGCAAATTTTGTTAATGTTTTTCAAACCTGATTCTTCTTATTATTATAGCAAATACTCCATTCCAAATGACTCAGCAGTCTAGTCAAGTTTCACTTTATGCACAGTCAGCCATGCCAGTGCAGCAGCCGTATGTGGTAAGTCAATCATTTATTCCCCAATTTAGTTTTTAGATTGTAGGGAAAAGAGCTAATATCAATAAACATTGAATTTTCAGAGTAAAAGGGCTCTCAGATATGAACTAATATATCATTAATTATTAATAATGTTAATGTTTACAATGTCATAGCTAGAAATCTTTGGCCCTTTAGCAAAACTTTTTACATATATATAAATATATATAATAAAAATTATGTAAATTGAAATTATAATTTAAATTAGCAATATCCCATTAACTCCTCATTTTAATTTGGGATACTTCCCCTTTATTCTAAAAATATTTAACCGCATGCCTAACCTTTCATAATATTTTCTAGACTGTGTCATATCGAGATTAAGCTCATCGTATGGCTTTCACATAATGATGATGATGTAGCTAATTTGGAACTTAAACAAAAACTTTTCTCTTCATAAGCCTCTATATACACACTTCCTTTCTGCACCTCAGCGTAGTTGGACTGTTGCTTGCTTCTGTCTTCTTGCCATAAGCTATCAATTAGGCAAGCATTTTGAAATAGGCGTGAATTAAGAGTGTCAGGTTGTTAGTGGCCACAAATATCAATTGAATGAGTATCAAATGAATAGTCAGTCTGTCTCAGTTGTCAAGTTTGCTCTTCATTATGGATCTTAGCAACACAATCAATATATCTACATCATTACAAGTAAGTCTGCTTCATGACATCTAGTCTGATAAGAAGTCAAGTGCAGACAAACTCTAAAAAAAAAAAAAATTGTGGAGTTATAAAGTGTGTTAACAGGAAGGATTTGGGTCCACTCTTTAGTCTTTTCTTATGCATTTTAATTAATAATATACATATTTGTATATTCTTAGTTATTGTATTGTAAGGAATTGTTATAATTGTTTTAATATATTTCACCTTCAAATTTTATTTTCCAATCAACAGCTAATTAAAGCAGTTTTTAAGATTTTGCAGAACTAAATATAGTCCACAGACTGCTACAAGAAGTGGGCACTGAGTTGTTCTGCTTGCTCCTTTCATGAAATGTGCATGTGCAGTCTAATGTGCCAAATCAGCTTGTTTGAATTGAAGTAGCAATTTTTTGGGTACTTGCGGAAAATTCCATCGACTACAAGAGGTATCGCCAATTGCACCAAACAAAAAAAAAAAAAAAATTACTAATACAGTCAAATACCGAAAATCCGCCAACTCCTGAAATCTGCGTTGCCTCTCAAAATATAAACATTTAGTTTATAGGTTCCAGAAATCGCAACATGGAGTACGAAATATCAAAGAAAAAATACTTACTGGATAATGACGTCATAATTACCGAATATTAATGAGTCATAACGGAAATACCAAATTATTGACATCATGATAAGAGTTTTTTTCCTTCCAATCTGCACCGAGGTAAAAAGCAGACTCTTATTTCAAGTTCACGCTTCACATCGTTGTACTTTAAGAGCTTCGTTATTTCAGGAGATGGTTTAGTAATGTTGTTTTTTTTTCCCGGATATGTTGTGGATATATTAAGAATATTTTTAATTTCAGCACCTTTTAATACAATGACAGATAAGAAACGCACTCGTGATTTTACAACTTGCAACGTTTGAAAACGTAAACAGGTTGCATTGACGGCAATGAAAAAGTGGGAATTCTAAAGATGGAGGCAGGTGCTACTGCTTGGTTTATAGCAGAATCGTATGGAATTGCCACAAGTACTGTGTATGATATACAAAACAATAAAGAAAAACTGTTGAAATTTTACAGCAACAGGGATTTAACACCAGAATCCTAAACCGGAAATCTTTACATCAGGCGAAATCGGCAAACCTGAATGCTGTCTTTTACAAGTGGTTCCGGCAGTGGCGGAGTACCTATTTTAGGACTACTTCTGAGAGAAAACGGGAAGCAGATTCATGCTGATTTAAAAATAGAGGAGCCTAATGTAAATGAACAATATAATATAATCAGTTTATATCTGTAATAATAATTTAATGCATATAATTAATTATTGTATTAATGTGTATAATAATTTAATTAAATGTATCTAATATGCCTTATTTATTTTGCACTTTTAGTCTAAATATTATCTTTTCTGTCTTGGAATCCGCAAAATCCTAAAATCATTGCGGATTTCTGGACTTCTACTGTACAAGAAAAAACGTTCTATTCTTAATTTTCTTTCAAATTTATTATATTATCATTTATTTATATTTAATTTTTGGTACAATGCCATTGCTTCTCAGTTTTTAAATAAAGTGTCATTTTGTGGCCATTAACATATTTTTTTGAGGCCAGTAAGATTTCATAATTTTGGAAATATTCAACAGCATGCTCTTCTGTAGTAGGCAGGTCCCAAATTTTAATAATTTTTTTTTTCAACAGAGGAGGGGAAAAGGAGTCTTTATTTAAGAATAATAACTAACATGTGTAATCAAGGTCACACCAAACCCAAGGGTAATAACTAACACATGTAATCAAGGTTATACCAAATCCAGTGTGTTTGAAGACGACTTTTCCATTTTTGATGAAAAATTGCGTAGTTTGGCGTCTATTCTGTAATAGGCAAAAATGGTCGACGGGATTTTCCGTAACTACCATTTTTTGTTATTCTTTAATACCTTCTTACACTGAACTATAAAGAACATGGCAAAAACAAATGCAAAATTTATTATCACAAACAAAACAGGCTAGTTTTGATTAGATTGCGGACACGAATGTGATGATAATGTTAATATACTACAGACAGGCAAATTCATTTAAACAAAAGAATTGTTTATGCAACACTGGAATTAGCAACAAACAAGGTAGGCTGCTGTGGCTTTCAATTTTATATGTAATTTTTGTATTACTCAAAAAAAGGTATAAAACCTTTTTATAATTAATGACGTAATTTATTCATAAAATTTAATTATGTACACACTAAATATCAAAGATGGATTCAGTAACAAATTTATTGATTTATTAGTACGTTTCAGATATTCAAAAATCAAAAGTAATGGGCCCTTAGGAATTGCCTAATCTTGCATATATTTAGCTATGTTACTGAACGTATTGTATGTGATATGTGTATATATGTTCATACTTTGTTTGTAATAGGTTTAAGTGAAAATCAATACTTCAAAAAAGTTTTGAGGAATTTTGTAATGATATGGAGTTAAAAATTTAGTTCAGGCAGCATTTATTAAAATGTAACCTAAGTTTCAAAAAGAGAAAAGTTTTTAAAAATTCAAAACATTTTTAAAATGCTGAAGTGTGCTCAGTAATTGCTGCTATATATGTCTATGTTTATGCAACTATTAAGGGGAATAGGGATTCATATGTGGGGGTGGGGAGGAAGGAAATAGAACTTGCTAGAATTGAAGTATCTTATGTAATAATTGGGTTAATTCAAACCTCATAGATTATATTATTTAAAATATTAATGTATTTCAACTGTAAGCTGTATTTTAATATTTTACTTGCTGAATTTCACCTTATATCATTATACTTTTATTACTTTCTTTGTAACGGGCTGGCTGCATAGGTGTTTCCGTGGTTTTCCCCATGTGTAATGTGTATACGAGCCAGTTTCCCTTTAAAAGTCCTCCACGAAGGCAACCCTTCCCTTAAGCAGATAGCCCTCGAGGCTTTGCCATAATTAAATAACCTAACCTTACTTTCTTTGGTTTTCTTTAAAACTCTGAAATTTTAAATTATTAAAAATGTACATATTGTATTATTGAATCAACTATAAAATATATTGTAGTCCGATGTATAAATTATGTCTACTTTGTTGTAAACTGACATAATTAAAAAATAATTTCTTAATTCATACTTTAATCTCAGTTAATAATTTCTATAATTTAAATAGTAGCTTATACATAATTGAGGCAGTACCAAGCCACTCTGGAAACGGAACATCAAGAATATCACCTTCCTTATCTTAATCTGTTTCTTCTTTTTTCCATAACTCTCAGCTGTGTATAGTAGCATAGATGGTAGACCTTCAGAAGCTTTCTCGAAACTGATAAATACCAAATTCATAGACTTCCTTCTTCTAAAGTAACGTTTATTGTATTGAAAATAAAATGTACCTTTGTAAGGAAAATTGTGTTTCAACTTTCCTTACAAAGGAGGAGTTTTTACTAAAATAAAGATAACAAAGCTTAGTTATAAGATAAATGTATTTGGTTCATCTTCTAAATGTTTCCATAGCATGAAAATGTCATCTACATACCTCTTCCGCCAAACGGGGAGAAACATAGAGGATAGCAAAATCTTACAAGTTTTTGCATATAGGTTTCAGCCATAGGCAACACTGATACTCCCACAAAGAGACCTTGCTGTTTGTGTGTTTCTCTGTTGGCTCTAAGCACTGTAAACTTATGTATGCTATGAAAAACTTCATAAATGTTTATAGTAAACTTGGATGTAATTCTTAATTTCTCAATCAGGTTAAAACAAAAACATTTAAAATTCATATAAAGGAATAGACAAGAACAGTGATGATGAAGCTATCTATCTCAGTTCTAGCTGACAAAGCAGATGGGTCATCTGCAAATGCTTATGTACTTCTTTTATTCTGTTTGTGTTTAAACATGATTCCAGAGTGTCTACCTACTTTTATCTTGTTTCTAACTTCATTTTAGCTGTGTGTGCTAGTTAGTTTTTAAATGTGCATATGTTGTATTTAATAGCTGTTATTTGTTGCAATTGAAATGAAATAAAAATCTCAATTTGTGTATATGAAAATAATTGCTGTTCTTTATATATAATTTTAACAATGATGAATGTATTATATCATTAATTAATGTAAAAATCTTATCCATGTTTTAATAATTGAAGTAAATGCACATGCTGTATAACTACATGCTTTTATATCTTTAAAAGAAATTATGATTTTTATTTCATAAAGGCATATTCATTTTTGTTTCTTACACATTTCAATATAAAACATTAAGAGTAATTTTGTACTTTTTCATTTTCCCGGCTCTTTCATCAAATCATTTTTTGAGAGTTTTGCTTGAACATAAATTCCTGGTATTGCTATTTCAAGCTATATTTTACTTTTACTGTTATCATCACTTTCATTGTTCTCATGGATAACTTCTGAAATTTCATGTTTTGATGTTTCAGTGCCATTATTGATATTCATAAGAGTTAAGTAAGTGCAATTTTAATTCCAATTAAGATCTCTCTCTGAGTCATTCTGATATAGGTATTGCATCATTTCATTCTCACAGTTAGAAATTATGCAGTTTTAATTCCTTCTTTCCTTTTAAAAATAGTTTTGGATAAGTAATTTTTTTTTACTGTTTTCCATGCATAATTGAAAATAAAATGCGTCTAATGAATTTAGCTTTGATCCTAGTTCTCTGCCCCTTCCCTACAGTATGTTAGTCAACAGTAAGTTTTAAAAGTGTTTGAAGAGCCATTGAATCTTCACAAAACTCCTTAGTTCATAGGTTGCAAAACTAAAATACTTCCCAAAGACAGAAATACCTCTAACTTGAAGAGAAATATGCCTAAGAAAAAATTAAAATTAGACAAAAATACAGCCTTAGTTTGTTATGAATTTGGAATAAAACTCGATTGGTTTTGATGCGATCTGACGTAGGTACCTGTCTTCAAGAACGAAATATTTCATTGTATAAAATTTAATTTTTCTTAATTCAATCACTTCTTAATTTTCCCCCCTATTAAAACTGTCTCCCCATCTTCCTCCAAACTGTATTGAACTTTAAAAACTGTGTTTTTTAGTCACTGTAATTCTTTCAAATATCTCAAATCCTTTCAAATTCTTTCAAATGTTTCATCTACCATACAAAGGTGTCTCTCCCTTTACTAATTCCTTCAAATCAATGTCAGTAGCTCTTAATTGTTTTGCCGTACCCAGATAAATTAATGATTAAATTTGTAAAAAGTGATAAAAGTAAGATATATGAAACTTATGCTTAAAGTAATAAAATATTATGTCATGAATATGCAGCTTGTGCTTATAAATAATCTATTAGCATATTATAAATGTTAAAAATATAATTAGTCATTTCTCTCTTATGAAAACTCATAAACTCTGTTTTATTCAAGTAATGAACAAACTTATATTTTATTTATGATTACTTTTGTTTATGGTGTATAGTTATAATTGTGATAAATATTTACATTTTAGACTTCTGCACCATTTCCAGCATATCCACCTCAAATATCAAGTCCTTTTCAAGTTCCACAAACTCAGTTTCCTATGCATGGTATTTCAGGAGTGATGCCATCTATTCCTACAAGTATGGCAGATGCTCATCTACCATTACTTATTACTGAAACCCGAAGTCAAAATGCTGAAGTGAGATTAAGTTTGTCAAAGATAACTGATAAAGTGGACTCTGTTATTCAAAAGGTGTGAATTATATTACCTAAGTTCAGAGTTCATTACTGAATATGTGGTTGGGAATAGATTTTAAATCCTCTCTGCCAGCACAGAGTTTTTGATTTTTTTTTGTCAACTGTTATATTTAATATCAGTTGCTCATTTCAATAAATTAATTAATATTGTTGCTGTTGGAAAATGGCAGTCATTGAGCCAAGTAATTTGTTTTGATAACTTCTTAGTTTGTAGTATAACTGTGACTCTTAATTAAAAAAATTAATTTGAATTTTAATTGATTTTTTCTGTTTTTTGTGGAATTGTGGTGATTCTATTAAGCTTCAGGTGAATGGTTATTCTACAAATAAAATATTAAATTGCATATAATCAAGGTTATAATCATATATTTACAATGAGATTGTTTTTCAAATGTGACATAAAAATTAACATAATTTCTACTTTTTTCAAACTTTTCATTTTTTGAAATATAATAGTGATATGAATATCTGAAATAAAATCTATGCTATTTAAATAATGTTTCATAAGAATTTTTATAGTTATTTGAGTTTTAACCTTGGTATTAAATTGTATTCATTTTATATTCTAGATAAAAAGGCCTTTTTTTTTTTTTTTTTTTTACCGGGTATTTCATATTGAATGGGACAAAAGGAAAGCATACTTGTGAATGCTGTAATTACTTTATTTTGATAAATCAAATTTAACTACTATAACTATAGTTATCTCAGTTTCTACAAATGTTTTATGTGTGCCCCTCCAGTGACATGGTAAATATCTGTGTGGTATTCCAGTTCCTGCCACACTTGTGATAGAATATCCTTTCTTAATGATTCAAGCACTTCAGTTATCCACTGCTTCACTTGCTGTAAGTCCTGGGGAAATGGAGGCACAGAGACTTGACGTATCTGAGGATCTCAGTGGCCAACAAAGCAATGGCATATCATTTGATCCAGTACCGCTAATCCAGTGATGGGGCAGACTATTTTTCAGGTACTGGTGTCCATTTTCATGCAAATGTGGTGGAGCACCATCTTGCTACAGAATGAAGGCAGCCGCTTCCTCCAAATGAAGGAACAACCATTCTTATAACATATCTTGGTAAATGTGCCCGTTAATTGATTTTTCCACGGAGAAAAAAAGACCAAAAGCACAACTGTTGAAAATGGTGCAGAAAATATTCACTTTTGCAGAATCATGCTCATGTTCCCTTACACCATGTGATTTTCCTTGCACCAAAATTTCAAATTATGGTGATTCATATGCCAGAAATATGAAAATTGGCCTCATTCATAAATGCAAATCTGTTAGTGAAACCATCTACCTCCAGCTTGTCTTGCAGATTCTTACAGAAAGCTTTACACAATGATGTGCTGGAAAGTTTTAAAGGCTGTACCATCTGTAAGGTGTATGACCAGAATTGTAGATATTTCTGTAATGCATGCCACACCATTATATGAGGCACATTGAGTTCAGAACTCGCACCCTGCGTTGGTTTTGTTAAAACTTAAGTTTTCGTACTTCGTAAAAATGTTTCATGAATTTTTTCAACCATTTCACTTTTGGCTTCTGTTCAGCCTGGGCTGGTTCTCTTACACAAGCCACCTGTGTGCTAAAAGTACTTCATGCACCATCTAATGTTGTGTGGATGCAGTAGCTCTTTGCCAAAATTTGTGCAAAAATGCCTTTGAATGATGATAAATGATGAGTTTTGGCGTATTCCAAAACACAGTGGGCTTTTTCTTGCATTGCTTCTAGCTATTATTTTGTAAGTGGAAGATTATTTGCTGTTGCCAGATAAAACTTGTATCATTGTAAATTCAGAATTAATTTGTTTAGGCTTAATAAATCAATTACAGAACTTGTACTGTGGTATTCTTTTTATCCCATCCAGTATGAAAAATCACATATTTAGAATATCTTAACATTCCATATGAAAAATAAAATGCAAAAAGTAATTATTCTGAAATATTATTCTGTGATTAGAAAATATGAAAAAATATCTGAAATTTGCAGTTTTATTTGTTAATCAGAGCATAAAAATCTGATAACATGAAATCTCAGAAAACTCCTCAAAATCTTAAAATTTTTGTCACAGTACCCATTGAAATTTATTTTAAATTTATTTGTGAATTTTATTGTGGAATTTTTTATTGCACATTAACATTTTTTTTTTCAATCTATCAATTGACTCTGGTATTATTTTGAAGCAATATTGTATGATTCCTGTAAATTTTCTATGTAATAATGTGATGGCTCAGGCAGTATTACATATAAAATCTAGCTTAACATAATTGTGCCCTAATTATTATATTAACTTAAATTTTATTATTTCAGTAGTTTAAATATTTTAAATGCACTAAGTTAACCACTTCTTAGCTTGCAGTTGTGTAAAAAAGTAGAACTCGCATTAATGTATCAATATTTTTTTAATGTATGTGTTAATAATTTCTGCAGATCTGAGAAAAAAATTCAGTTTTTTTCCTTATTATCTACTTTATTTTGAAATTACAGGTTGATGATTTACGCCTGCAACAGGGTAAATCAACTGGTTTGAGTCATATGCATTTTATGGAAGGTACTATTCTTCTTCAAAATATTCAAAGAATTATCCAGGTAATGTTACTAATATCTTAGTCATTTATTTGGAGTATGTGTGTATGTGTATTAATCGTAATGTATGTGTATTTAATTTTGAAGGAGAATCAACAACTAAAGGAGGATGTTGAAATAAGAAATTCTAAAATACAGGCCCTCAATGAAAAAATCTGTGATCTCTTGCAAAGAAATCAAAGGTTGTTAAATCATATTATTTTAATTGCTTATAACGTGTAGTTTTTTAAAATTGTTGATATATTCTAGAAATATTTATCACAATAAAATAGATTTCTGAAATCTACTAATATTTTAAAGTTAAATTTCTCTGTTTAAATAAGTTTTTTTTTTATAAAGTAGTGACTTGTTTTAATATGTAGATAATAATTTATATAAAAAAGTGAATAACAAATCAAAAGTTAAAAAAAAATTTGAATGCATTATTGAAGCATGAAAACATCTTTCCATAGCTGTAGGTTTCAGAAAGTAGTTTTTATTTGAAGGTTAAAGAATTCAAAATCATTATGTACTCAATGTTTGACACTAAAACGTTTTCTTTAAATGTAGTTAATATCTTAATAAAGCTTCTGAATTAACAATAATATTTATATGCTTATCTTATATCTTATAACAAACTTAAATTGTTTAATAGAAATTGTCCACTCCGCTTTACATATGTGAACTAGAACAGTTCTTTTCTTAATAGCCTTTATTTTAAATTAACCTGAGCAGAAAATAACTCTGTGTTTAAATGCAGAATCTTTTTTAAGTTATTCAAATTTGAAATATTTAATTTAACTATTTAATTTCTTAATAGCCTTAATGCAATGATAGATTTTCACCAAAACTTACATTTTATAGATTTATGCATATTTGTAGACCATGAAAAATATAAGTCTTATGAGCTTCAGTTGCATACTATGTTATATGCTAATGTAAAATTTGTTTTTAAAACAGACTAGTAAAAGTTTTAATAAAAAGATATATGTTAAGTTGCTCATTTTTTAAGTATAGCTTTAATGTATATAAATTCATCAATATTAAAATGCTGAAATTACGAGTTGTTATTTTCATCACATCTGTTAAGAAAATTTGGAATAAACTGAGATATTTATTTGTAACATCTTATTATAATATTTGCTTTGTGCCTGACTGTTTTGTGCCTAATATTTGTTTTGTGACTGTAAGTCTGTATATATTATTATGTATATCTAATATAGGTTTTTTGAAGAGAGCACTAATATAATGGAGCAAAGGAAAGATTCACTTCAGGCTGCAAATACACAATCTCATGTGAAATTACTCAGTTTAGAGGAAGAGAAGGTAATAGTAATTAGATGGATTCTTTTACGCATAATAAATAGTGTCTCTATGCAGTCTTAGAACTGTATTAAAAATAAATGATGCTTGATGAAAGTAAACAAAATTATCATTTATTTTTTTTACCCATATTCTTTTTACAGTGGGGTCAATTGATTAAAAGCTGCTGAATACTAGTAGTTCTAAGTTCAAACTCAAGCAAATGGGCAAATGGGTTGGCTGTAAGGTCTTTGTGGTTTTTTTCATGTTCAGGGAGAATATGAGCCAGCTTTCTTTAGAAAATCCTCCACAAAGGCATCATGTGCTTTTCCATACTCAAATAACCTAACCTAACATTTTAACTATATTATGGCTCTTTGATACATCTGAATACTTTTTTTAGAAGCCAGTCTACCAAAATATCCAAAATGAAATATTTGACAGCTAAGCAAATGAAAATAGAAAACTTTTTTATAAGTGGGAATACTCTTTAATTCTTTTATTCTGTGTTGTAAATAAAAGAAAAGAAAAGGAAAAAGAGAAGAAAAAGAAAAGAAAACAATAGCCTGATTGAATGATTTGATTTTCTAGTCTAACAGAATAGATACTATCTAGAAATGAATCTGCTGCTTCTTTGTAGAACTTGGAGTCTCCATTTCAAGCAACATTATTCTTGACCGTTATATATATATGTAATGATAGCATAACATATTTGAATAATCAATTATATCTTTTAGAATGAGGAATTTGCAGATACTATTTTACAGAAATCCAACTGAGGAATAAATGTTCCATTGAGGTTAGTAGCATAGTCAAATATCCTGTATGACTAATAAATGTAATAACATTTATTAGTCAAATTTGGAAGTATTGATGTATAAGACACTAAGATGTAGAATGCACAGAAATGCTGATTGTGTAGAGATATTTGGTGCTCAGAGCATCCATCCATTTTGAAGAATAAACAGTTGAGCCGGATTAAATTCCTTTTATTTATTTAAATTCCCATTTTGTGGCCGCAATTCACTTGCCCTTCTACTCGTGCCTATTAAAGAACGTTTACAATTTTGATACTGGGGCGATAAAAGCATGATTGCAGCAGCATCTGAACAGCATGAAAGCATAAGCGAGAAGAGAGTGAGTGTGGCAGTAGTAATGCAGAGGAAGAAGGGGGGAGGCAAAAGTTTCAGTTTTAAAGTTTTAAGTTTTGGTTTACTATTTGGTGATTGGTCAAGAGGCATCTGCATTAAGTGTTACGTAAAATAACATGATTAATTTGAATGCTAGTTTTTCTCACATATGTGTGTGGACAAATTTAGTCATTGCTGTGTTGTATTTGAATGTTAATGTTCACTACTCAATTAAAAATATATATATAGATCTTTGGAACGTTAAAATGTATTTCTAATTTATCATGTTAAATGCTATGCCTTGCTATGCCTATTAAAATTAATGTTTGAAATAGAAATTTTTATGTTTATTTTCTCCCTTGCCTAGCAGGTTTAATTAAGGATGATCTGTTAAAGTTTGGACATTTTGTTAAATGTCCTTTTGTACATGAAAAAATTTTTAACTTAAATATCTATGTTTATCTGCTGTTAACTTAATGTAGCCTTCAAAAACGAACACTAGATGTTTTACTCAAAAGCCAATGGATGTACTTGAAATCATTAAACAGTGGTAGTACAGCCCATAAGATTTGCATAATAAAAATGAGTTAAATTTCTTGCACCAGTTCATTAATAATTACCAATTGTTTTCAAACTAAATGCTAAATCCTTTTCCTTATAAGTCCACCAGCAGTTGATCGATAAAATCACTGAGCAGTTGCAGTTCCAACCTGGTTCGATTTCAGGTGAGTGGGCTGATTGCATGGGTGCTTTCGTGATTTTCACCATGTGTAATGTGTATACGAGCCAGTTTCCCTTTATTAGGTAGAAAGCCCTAGTGTTCTTTGGGTAATCAACTAAACCAAGCCAACTCTTCCTTATAAACACATTTTCCATGTGTAGAACAATCAGTGTCTAAACTTTATAACATTAAACTTGAAATAAATACTTAACCGTCTCAGAGGCAGTTGGGTTCTCACAAATATCAATCACAAGAAACCCTGCATTTCAAATTAACTGTAAATCCTTAATGAATTGGAAAAAAAAAGTAAATTTTTGTTTATCACTGCTGTTATTATGTAGGCATAAGTAGTAATCAAGAGTTTTTTTCATTTATGTATGAAAATCTCAATTGCATTTTTATTACCTTTGATGTATACAGCGAAATATAAAAATTCTGCCAATATCTGAGCCTTTCGCATGTCAACAGTGAAATGCAAAGAGGTTTGGCAGTTTTGGGCAAGGTTAAGCAATTATTGGTGACAGATTTCCTTTTTTAGCATTGAAACAAGCTACCATATCTTATTTGCAGCTTGCTTTTAAGCATTTTTATTACCATCACAAAATAAATATTTTGCTGGAAGTTGCTCATGTGGTACCTATAACTTAGGATTAACCCTGTGCCCTTTTAATTGAGCAAGATTAGGAGTGATTAGAATTTTGCTTATCATCTGTCAACAAGGCAGCCACCATAATGTGCACACGTGCAGAAAAGTTAGCAGCCTTATACCACAAGCCAAGCCAAATTCAGTGTACTTTGATCTATTTTTTTCTCGTGAGATTTTAATCAACTAAACTAAAGTAAATTTTACTATTTCTTAGTTACCAAATGATGAAGTGTCTGCCATTTAACTCTTCTAGAAAAAGGAATTGTAACTGATTTTTTTTTTTTTTTTTTTTAAATAGCCACAATTATATTTTTTTCAAATAATTACAATTTAACAATTTAAGCAGTAGTGGGTTAGGATTGTTTCATTAGAGTTGACACTACTATTTTAGGCTGCGTTTTATGGCAACATTTATGTTTTAGGATAACTGTTGCCTCATTATTAGAAAAAAATTGGAATTTTTAACTTTAGTTATAACAAAAAATATTATTTTTTTCACCATATTATGGTAGGGCAAATTCTGAATAAATGAATAATTTTCCTACAAATATTGGGGGATAATAAATCCACAATAACAATACTATTTGATCGGTTAGAAAATAATGATTTAGTTTAATTTAAGGGGAGAAGGATTCAAATTGGAACATCCTACAATGTTAAAGCAAACTACTGTAAACAAGTGCTTTGGGAGAAAATGTCAAACATATTTTCTGTATACCTTTTAAACTTGTCTTTATATATATAATATATTTAACATATATTTCTCTGTGAATAAATTTAATATATATTTCTCTATACAAAAAAATATTGAAAAGTAACTGCTTTTACTGCATTTTGAGTTTATCTGTACTTTTTTTCAAATATAAATATATCCATACAACCTCAACTCCCAAACGGTGCAGAATTTTCACCTACTGTATTTCCTTATATCTCTTTATATTTAATATCAGTCTTTATTTGTATGTCTTAATAATCAGTCATGTATGTGAAGTTCTTTGTTAAAAAATTATATATATTTCAGGCTAAGCTTTCATCTGAATTAATAAATGCAACTGCGAAATTAAAAAATGTGGAGGCTGATCTTCTTAGGCATGAGAATCAAGAAAAGGAGTTGCAGCAGAAATTACTAGAATCAGAGAGAGAGTTTAAAGAATTAAAAGACAGACAGAATATAAATAGTAAGAAAGATGCATGTTTTCAAGCAACTTAAATGATTGTGGAAAAAATATCTAGTTAAGCATTGATTACATAATTTTAATGAATATTTCTTAGAATTAATTGAAAAAAAATTACAGAGCTATTACAGAAGATTCAATAGGTTTTAAGCCTAACATACTTGTATATAATAAGTGAGCAAAATTGTATATTTAATTTTGTTTTTAGTATGATCATTGACTTTAATGCATCCAGTTTTTTATCAAGTAAACATCATATTCCAATGAGGGGGGGGTCTAAAAATTCAGAAATAATTCCTGAATGGCAACTTTTACATCATCATTGTTGTTGTAACATGAACCAACCAAGTATTGCTTTGATATTTGAAAAACAAAATAAATCTGAGTGTTTTTAGATTTTATATTATGCCCAAAGGGGATGTTTATTAACATTTTGTGTGTTACCTTTATTTATTCAATATCATGTTCTTTGATAAACCATAAAATTCAGTCCAACAGCAGTATTACAAAACAATTTTAAAAAAAAGCGTTTCTTTAGAATTTCTGATAGACAGTCTTGTGCACTAAAGATAAAAATGCCCCCCCGGTTCAATATTGCCATTACTCGCTTTAAAATCATTCAGTTTGTTTATCAAACATTTGTTAAATTTTTTCAAAATATGAAATTGATAATAAAATAAATTCCGGTTTCTGGTTTCCATATGCCTATATTCGAGTGGAGGATTACATCATTCAAAATTTGATGGTTCTAGGTACCTTTGTTTTATCACAGCACAGCAAATATAATACATTCATGCAGATTCTTTGTTATTTAATTTCTGAAAATAAAATACAGGGGGATAATATTTAATGGCAACAATTTGAAAAGAGATATGCTACTTCTAGTGATTTGACGCAAAATGCTATAACAAAATCAATAGGCCTTCTGGGCTAAAAAAAATATCAGTTGGAACCAAATTAAGGCTGTAGAGGGAATAGAGTGAGAAGGCTGGAAACTAGAATATATTGCTGAGTAGCAATCTGGGAAATCTAACCTCATATATAGGTGCACTGTCATATAAAAATTATAGCCTTTTTTTGACTTAACATAAACAACTTACATTAAAAGAAATGTTTGTAATTTAATAGAAATAAACAAATAAATATTAATTTTTTTTTTTTTTTTTTTTTTTTTTTTTTTTAAATTTTGATACCCTTTAGATCATAATTGTTCTTTATTTCATAAATTACGGTTTCATATTTTTAATTTTATAATTTCTTCATGCCATCTTACCAGATTTAAACTGATGATCTATAATCCGTAAAAATCGATAATCCAGAATCGCCGAAGTCCCGACGAGTCCGGATTAACGACTTTTGACTGTATTTATAAATAATAAATATCTTTATTGGGATTTCTTACCAAAAGTAGTACTAGAGAATAAACAGTTAGTTCAATTTTTCTTCATTTCATTCATCCGCATTTGAGGTGCTAATCTAATATATGACTTTGGCATTAACTGGTTTTTATGTGAATGTTTTTTTTTTTTTTTTTTTCACTGACTCAGCACCGATGTTTTTTTTTTTTTTTTTTTTTTTTTTTTTTTTTTTTTTTTAGTTTGGGAAGATTATCACGTGTTGATTTCACATATTCCTTAACTTTTGTATATGTTTCTTCTAAAGTAATGTTCAGTTGTGATCAAGTCACTTTTGAGTGACACTTTACCTTGTCCAGAAAGGCAGTACACCTTTGATGGTGAGACAGATGTAGAATAACTTATACTTATGCATTTATGAAAATTTACTGTTGTTATGGCATCTTCTGCCAAGAACTTAATCAGCAAAAAACTTCTGATGTTTTTGATATTCACAGTCATTTCTGACTAATAACCATTTACACCCTTTCCCAAAATCAAGTGATAATTACCAGTGATCCATGCATTTTTTAGTGAAAGAATATTACAATGCTTTAACTGTGTTTTATTATTCTAGAAGTTTTATAAATCATTGTTGCTTAACAAGTAAATCATAGGTTCGAAAATCTGAGCCGACACTTTTTAAAAGCACCAACATTTATTTTCACGCCATTTCTTATTCTACAAAATCTTAAATGCAACTAACTATCAAACAGAAAAGCAGACATAGACGTAATGATGCATCTGAGCACGTGATCCTCATGACAAACGAATTCTTTAGGGTTGACACAGAAAGGCAGTGTGTCGCCACAATTCTCACCTTTTGAGTGGATGGCTACACACTCAAAACATAAAACTTACATCAATATAAATGAGATTTATATAACAAACAAAATTACTTAATACTTAAATCATATTACTTGAAAACAAAATTAATACTGATGACTAATACAACAATAATAGCACAACAAAATAAATCATAATAACTCAAAGACAGGAATTACATTATTCGCGATTTTACAACTCTACCACTACTGGTGGTGAAAGGAACTTGATCATTTTGAGTATTATCTATTATATTATCCAGTTCCAATCTAAACAATCTCTGTATTGGTCTCAAGAACTCTGAATTATTACTTTTTACAAGAGCAACTCTTATGTTGCCATCTCGACCAGGGATGACCCAAATAACGCGTGCTAAATTCCAATATGCACGTTTTTTATTTTGATCCTCCAGCAAGACAATTTCTCCTACAGAGAGAGGTTTATTTTTTTACAAAAATTTCTGGTAGACTGCTGTCTTAACTGCCTTAGATACTCAGAGCGAAATCTCACTCTTAACAATTCTCTCATTCGCTGGAGATACTTCGCTCTTCTACTCAATTTTCCTTTGTCCACATTGTCAATATCAGGTACACCCTACTGTGGAGTTTCACACAGAAATTTTTCTGGTGTTAAAGGCAAGGGATCTTCATTATCATCAGGCATGTACGTAAGTGGACTTGAGTTGACAATTCTTTCACAATCACACAAGATGGTTAGTAACTCTTCATAACCAAGAGAAGCACGACCTAAAAATTTTCTTAATATTTATTTTACAATTTGTATTAAACGCTCCCACCATCCACCCCACCAAGCGGCGGATTGAGAATTAAATTTCCATCGTATTCTCTTTTCAGCAGTCTTAGAGCAGAGGCAGTCCCAGTCAATGGTTTGCAGAACTCTCTCTGCACCCATAAAATTTGTCCCATTATCGGAAGATATGGTGGTAGGGCGTCTACGACGTGCGATAAAACGCCTTAAAGCTTGAAAAAATGCTTCAGTTGTTAATGAGGTAACCAGTTCCATATGGATAGCACGATAAACCGCACAGGTGAAGAGCACAATATACGATTTTCGTCTATCCTTTAAATGCAAGGGTCCTGCAAGATCACATCCTACGATTTCAAAAATGGCTGAATCACGAACCCTATCATTTGGTAAAACGCCTGGGACTGTCTCTACTCTTTTAGCCTTAAATCTCTGACATGTTACACATTTTCTTATACCGTTCCTTATAGTTTTACGTGATTTCAAGATCCAGTATCTTTCTCTTAAATGCGACATCAATAATGTAGTACCTGCATGCAACAAATCTTTGTATGCACTTAATATCAATAATTTGACTACTGGATGTTCAGAAGGTAATATGATGGGGAACTTAAAGCTGTTAGAGTCGTCATGATAAGCAATATTAGTCTTAGCTCTTATTAGACCCTGACTATCGACGAATGGTCTGAGTCGCCTTATCATCTGTTTCACCATTAAATGACTCTTTTTGTATTAATAGCATTAACCTCAGCGTATGGTACAATTTTAGAGGGGCAGCGTATGAAGTACACCAGTTCATTTTTCGAGCCTCTGCTTCATGTTTGAAACTATTTAATTTATATATGGCATTAATAAGGTGATTCGTCATAGTAAAAATGATATAAGAAAAAGAATAACAGAAAAAAAGCAGTAAAGATGGAAACTATGAATTTTTAATTAATTCAAAAAGTGGATGCACTGGAAATGTAATATAAAGTTAAATAGTATTCTGCATTATTTTTTGTATGAAAATTATAAGAACATAAATCAAATTTACAAATTATAAATATTTTGTAAAGAAAAGTTCGGTAAGTAATAAATTTCACAAATGAAAAAAATTGAAAACCTTTTGCTATTTTAATTGTCCGATTGTCCCTGTTCACTGCAGCAGGGTTTGAAAAGTTGTACTGTCTTGCCCAGATGATTTTTGCAGGTAAACATAGAAAACTCAGAATATTTTATGGTAGTGTAGTTACTCTTCATTCTACCGCACTCAGCGCAGCGTCCTTTGATCTTTTTTGCAGGTGGTTCCTCGTCCCTTTCGGCCGTCTTGTCCGCTTCTGTTGTTACCAGCCTTCTAATAATAGCTTTGGAATACAACAAGAGAAATAGCATTTTCAGACGATTCTGAAGATGTGGTTTCATCAAAGAAGTAGCTAGAGTTTTCAAAAAATATCTTCTAAACTTGATGTTTGCATCAGGTTTGGAGAAGTTCAAGAGTTTATGCCCGCTACGTTTAGCAGTGCAAAAAATATTGCCATTGCCCATCTCTTGGTTTTTTCGGGTGACAGTGAAATTACTACAGAGTTGGTCTACGGTATCAACTCCGCCTTTACATTTGTTATAATCCAGGATTATTTGAGGTTTATTCCTTTCCTGGTCAATTTTGTCATCATCGTGTAAAGTACTGAGCAGTATTACACACTTATTTTTTTTCGTTGCATATGAAGCAATTGTCATATCCTTTTGAAAACCAAACAGTGAACTGCCGACTTCTGGTTTTTGATGGCTGGAATTCATTTAGAATTTCGTTTTTATTTTTTTCCAGCATGCCCACAAGTGCTATACCTTTGGTAAGAAGATATTGAGTTAGCGGGTAGCTTGTATACCAATTACCGGTCGTCAGGTTATGGTTGGAACCTTCGTATGCAGCAGTTAGCCTTTTGACAATGTCAATACTTGAATTAGAAGCCTCGTAAGGTCCTGGGGGTTGATTGCCATAGTAAATTTCAAGCTTCAATGTATAAAATGTTCGTGAGTCAACAACTGCAAAATTTTCAGACCATACTTCGCGGGCTTGTTGGGGATGAATTGAATAAAAGAGCACCTCCCGCGAAAGGGTTCCACCTTCTCGTCGATTGTGAGTTCGTCACCTGGTGTATAAAAGTTTTGACAGTTCTGATTGAAAGATTCAAAAAATTATCTTAGTGCAGCAATCTTATCAGTTTTTCTTCGCACATACCTTGTGCCTTTATCATCGAATCTAATAGCAGCACACAGGTTTCTGAATCGCTTGAGACCCATGACTCCTTACAAAATTTCAATTCCAGTACCGTGCTTCCTCCAAATTGAGTTTTGACAGTTTTTTGCATCCTAATAAGAATAAAGTTCTTAAAAAAGCCAACATTTCTGCTCTGATAGTATCATACATGCATCTCTTTGAGATGTTTTGGAGATCATCTGCTGTCCTGTTACATTTGAGATAAATATTTGTATATTGTATGATAGCATCAATCATATTTGTATTTATTATTTTTTGAAAAGCAGAAAGCTCATCATTTATATCATCACAAGTTTTGGCACTTGGGCATATTTTTTTCATCAAATTTTTTCGAGGCCTTCTGGCGAATTTGCTCTTGAGGGGAACTTTATTCCACTTATAAGTTTCCTTTTCTTCTTTCAGAAACTTTCCTCAAACTTTCTTCTTTTTTGTAAATTGTTTTTATGAAAAAGTCCTCATATTTTAAATCACTCATGTCATTTTCAATATCACTAAAATCGTCATTTGTTGGGGAAACATCATTTGAGGAAGGAAAATGAGGATGTTTAGAAACATTTCCCTCAATTTCTGAGTCACTTTCATGATCAGAATGTTCGATGACTTCCGATTCATTGACATCAGATGCGTTATCCTAATTGTCGGAGTCTTCATCAACTGAGATTTCTTCTAAAATGCACAAATAATCTTCAGGAGGTACAATATTCTTTCTGTACATACTTGGAGGAGCGGCGTACTGCGTTCGCCTACACGACATGTTCACAATAACTGCTTTCGGAAGGAAGGCGAAAACCAGACTGACCAAAAATACCAGGTGCATTGCACTCATGGAATGTTTCTAGGAGGGTAGAGGAATGGAGGAAGCTCAGGAAGAGGTTGTCTAAAAATTACAGCCCAAAAGATGGCATTGGCGTACTTTGTACGCCGGCCACTCCATTGCAGGGTTAAAGCTATTTCTCCCCTTTTTATTTCAGACACAGTCAAATCCTTAGAATGGTTGTTATTGTTATTCTTACGTACATTCTTACAAAATCTGAATATCCATGATAACATTCTTACAATTTTCTTAAATGATGAGAAATACTTATAGTACCATCCAATACAATTATCACTCTTTGCCAAAGTAACAATAACTGTCTTACGTATTTCTGAATTAACCAAATCCTCATCTGGTTCATCATTAGATTTAGGCCAATTTGCCTCATCTTTCCGTAACCAATCAGGTCCCTCCCACCATTTTCGTTCTATTAATTGATCTGCATAACAACCTCTAGAAAGTAGGTCAGCAGGATTGAGACTACCAGGGACATGTCGCCATACAGTGGGGAAGGTCAACGACCTGATTTCTTGTATGCGATTAAAAACGAATGCTCCCTAACGTTGATTTCGCCGTATCCAACTTAAAGCCGTCGAGGAGTCAGTCCAACATGTAGGCCAATATCATTAATAACTGAAGACAATAACCTAGAACCAATATTACAAGCAAGAAGTTCTAATCGAGGAATCGTAATAGGTTTTAAAGGCGATACTCTCGATCTTGCGTGTACCGAACTAACCTTCACCCTTTTTGCCACTCTGTACTCTTAAAAAGACGCATGCACCATACGCACTCTTACTACTGTCACAAAAGAGATGTATACTCACATCTTCATTAATAGATCTGAGACCTATCCATCTAGGTATTTGGATACTGGATAGCAAATACAACTTTTTAAGCCAAAACCTAAACTTTTTGGTTAATTCATCGGGAAGAATATCGTCCCATTTAAGCCTTAAATTCCAAGTTTCCTGTAAAATTAGTTTTGGAATCAACATTACAGGAGCCATATGTCCTATAACATCAAACACCTGATGAGCTACTGCTAAAACTAGTCTTTTAGTAACTGGGTCATCCAATTTTATATCTTGACTTATTTTGCAGGATAAGGTATCTGTAACTGTATGCCATACAAGGCCCAAAACAGACACATCTCCTTCCGTGCTGGCACAACACTTCTTATATTGGATTTCCAGAATCTTAAATTAAAATGACCCGAAGCCATAATTATTTATAATTCATTTACAAACTTTCTCATTTCTATTTCTGAATCCATACTAGCCACACAGTTATCTACGTAAAAGGACGTTTTCAATATCTCTGCTGTATGACTTAAGCTTTCAGGAACTACACTCAAATGATATTGTATTGTAGGGGCCAATAAATACGGACTACACGTAATACCAAAACTGCCCTTCTATGCCGATACAGGTCAACTTGTTCTTGATTATCCCTACTGAACCACATAAATCTCAAAAAGTCTCGATCTTTTTCCCTTATAGATATTTGCAAGAACGCTTTTTCTATTTCTTATTATATATAACGCTTTTTCACAAAAAATACAAGTATCAGACTTTTTATACTTTTGAAAATTTTCAATACACTTACTACTATTACTACTATTTGCATTAATTAGTTCACATGCAGTTGGAACAACATGTTTTGTGTCAAAAAACTTATTTTTCATATTACTTACTTTATCAGAACCCAAAACATCATGGGTAAGTTTAACTCTAAATTCAGTTTCTACTTCCCTTTTTAGAAAATCAATTAATGACTCCAAATCACTCTTACCTGTTGTTTCAGGTGACATACCTCGTTGTCTTTCCCAAATTTGTATTAAATCAGCAGGAAGTGCTGATTCCACTAAAGGAAATAAAACAACTGCAAATTTATCTTTAGTTAAACCGAGTGTTTCCAATGCGCGTAGTTGAGTTTGCAACTTGTCATAAAGAGTTAATAAGTCTATCTTTTATTTTTCATTGATTACCAGTTTTAATAGCTCTCTAACATAAATTTGAATTAAAACATTTTCATTTCCAAATCGTTCTTTGAGGTACTCCACGGATTTTTCGTAATTTTCTTCCGTAGCAGGAAAACTTTCCACTATTGCTCTTGGCACAGTCTCTGGTTTCGTAGATTGTAGTAGATAATGAAACTTGTCTCTCTTGTCGATGTGAGTATCTTCATGTATTTTACTAAACCTCGTCCAAAACGTCAACCACTTTTGGGAGTCTCCATCGAACTTCACCAGTTCGATCTCTGGCAGTTTCTGTTTTGCGGCCGTAACTATTCCTGATGAAGAACCGCTATTCGTTGATCCAGTAGAAGGCTGTGAACACTTATCCTTTTTCCTGTTGGCTCTTACTTTCAACGTAGATAATTTATCGTAATATTCTTGAGCTGCACTAAATTCTCTTTCGTATTCTTCTTCAGTACAGCTTTTTTCTGTAGAAGTTCCAAAAAAGAGTCATCTGTATTTCGTAAAATTTTATACTTCTCTGAAATTTGATCTAAATAAATTTCTAAATCGTCCAAATCCGGAGAATCTGATCATATCAGTTCTTCTAATTATTAGCCGTTTTCGTAAATACACTCCTAATTGCTTTCCGCTTCTGTTTTAGTGTTTCGAAATCATCCATGTTTGCACCTAGGAACTTCTCTTATTTTCGTAAATTATCAAGTGTCGAAGTCGATAATGTCACCCTGTGACATTCATCCTGGCTGGCTCGCCAAATTTGTTGCTTAACAAGTAAATCATAGGTTCGAAAATCTGAGCCGACACTTTTTAAAAGCACCGACATTTATTTTCACGCAATTTTTTATTCTACAAAATCTTAAATGCAACTAACTATCAAACAGAAAAGCAGATGTAGACGTAATGATGCATCTGGGCACGTGATCCTCGTGACAGACGAATTCTTTAGGGTTGCCACAGAAAGGCAGTGTGTCGCCACAATCATAGTTAGGCTTAAAAGTTATTGAGCACTCATTCGATATTTTGCAATTCTTTGCTTTTAACATGTGTATTTGAATAAAATAATTACTAATTTTAAGAGTTATATTTGAAGTGCTTTTTTAGAATCAGACATTTTTTGTCTTTAATTTAAAAATCAATTTGTCGTTTTTCAGCTGAAAAGGAATCTTTGCTAAATTCTTTATGTGCTGAATTGGAAAATTTCAAGCATGAGAATAGGCTTCTAAATACTAAGTTGCAAAGTCTGGAAGAGAAGCAGAAGGAATTACAAGATACAAACGAATCATTAGAAAAGGTTTAGTTATTTCCTATAATAAAAGTATTCTCCATTAGAAAATATATAACACATATTTCAGACTTGAAATGCATGAAAATGGTATACATACATGTGACAGTATGAATTATGCATTTCATTTTTAATATCATGTTTTGATGTTTCAACAGCTTCTTTTAGAAAGTAAACAAAAGATTCAAGAAATAAAATCTAAAGCTGCTTCTGATTTGGAAAATTTAAATGCTGCTCATGAGGTAAATAGGTTTTACAAATTTTCTGCTAAAAAAAATTTGTCTTTCAGATGAAGTGTGAATCTACTGAAAGCTGTCACATATTTCTGATTTTTTTTTCTTTTTTCATGGGAGGGATTTGACTAAGAAAGTAGAAGAAAATTCTCGAAGCATATTGAAATTTAACATTGAAATGAAAAACAATACAATTATTGTAATTATTTTATTAGATGTATATGGAAGTTTTGTGTATATTTCATGTACATTTAAATATGTTTTAATTTACTGAGAGCAAATAGATTATAAACAATAAAATGTAGCTGAAATGCTAGATTTATAAGAAGCAGTAGTGCTGGCAAAATGTTTGATTTTATTCCATATTAATTTCAGTTAGAAAATTAAACGAGTTCATTGCATTTTAGGCCCTGCCAGTAGTTGGATGTTAGACTGCTAAATACTTATAATTTGATCTAGCTTCAAACCTAGTGCAATGGGCTAGCTGCATGTGTGCTTTTTGTAGGTTTCCCTTTGTTTAACAGAAATATGAGCAAGTTTCCCTTAGAAAGTCCTAAAAGGCAGCTCTCCCTTTAGGCATATATCCCTTGTGTGCTTTATTATATCCAAGTAAGCTAACATACCAATGCATTTTGAAATAGAGTATGGTCCCTTTTCAAAAGCAAACATTATTCCATTTTTATATATTGATTTTTTTCTAAAGAAGGAAAATGCATTAAAATCAAAATAAATTAAAACCATTATTCCAAACTATGCTTGAATTTTTGTCAGTTATTGAAGTTCAAGTTTGAATTCTATTATCAGTGCTTTTTGAAAATAAATAATTTATATGGCATGAAATAAGTATTCTTAATTAAAAATTACTAACATATATATATATGTGTGTTTGAAAATATTATAAAAAAAGTATTCTTAATTAAAAATTACTAACATATATATATATATATTGTGTTTGAAAATATTTTTAATATCAGTATTTATCAATAAATGTTATTAAAATCTCAATAAAGAAAAGATTAAAACTGATAAATATTTAATATTTTCAAATTACTTTTATTTCAACAATATTATGATATTATCAAAACTCTAAAATTAAAACTAATAATGATTAACTCTAAAGGGAAAACATGCAAAATTATTGCATATTATAGCTGTAGTTACAAAAGTAGCTTATCCATTGCAGATATTGCTGTATTATTATATAAGTTCCTAAATTCATGAAACTTGCATTCCACTTTATACCTTTGTTTCTGACTTAGGCAGTGCCTTTATCTTTAACCAAATACTCTATTATTCATCTTTTTTCATTGTTGTCTCACAGTATTATATATATATATATATATATATATATATATAAATATATAAATATATATACTTACTTAGCTTGTTAGTAAATTTGAAAATTTTGTTCCTAAGTTTTGTAGTTTTATGGTAATTTATATTTTTTGGTGAATGTTTTCCATTGAGAAGTTCTCTAAAATGTCTGCAAAATAGGTTTTGATAATTTCATTTCTTGTGTATTGAAACTGAATTAATTAATTTTCATATATTTTTCAGTATTATCCTCATGATATATTTCTTTCTTTTGATACTAAGCCACGCTTTCACCTCATAAGGTTTTCTGATGGATATGAGATATTTTACTTTTCTGTCTGGGATGATACATATTTCACTAACACTTTCATCTCATGGGGTATTCTAACCAGGATGGTACGCACTTCTATACCATGGGACCATGGGGTATTTCAGTTTCGGATGGCATGAATTTATTTTAATAATGCATGTCAGTATAATAACTAAACTAAAATGTAATAAAGTTTAGAGATATTTTGTGGCATGTTTTTGTGAAGATCTGTTATTTTATGTATGTTGATCTTCACAGATGCATATACTGCAAAATAGTCCTAAACTTTTATTTTTATTGGAAATGATAATCAACATTTTAAATAAAAGTTGTCTCCATTGTTATATAGTATATAATTGGGCTGCAAAATTATCTCGACTAAATAATTGTTTACATTTACTTTTTTTACTCTAAATTTCGAAAATTATCTCAAATGTTTTAAATTAGCTTTTAAGTTTTCTTTCTTTGTGATATTCTTTTGTAAATTTTTGTTCCAGGAAGAAATTCAATCATTTCAAAAGAAACTAAGGGAGAGAACATCATCATTGAATGAAGCAGTAAGCTCAGAATGTTACATGTTTTTAAACTTTTAATATATTTAGAAGCATTTATCTTCTCAGTAGTAATTTTTATTTCTTTGTTCAAATGAAAAGATTTAAATATATATTGATCATTCTGTGTTTTTGCTGAATATAGGTGCTATAACTTATTAATATTTTCATCTTAATCTTATTTTTATATTTAAGAAAATACAATATGAAATAAATTGAATGGGGGGAATTGCTTCATTTTTACTTAGTTCCCCCCTTAGTGAATGCTGACATTTTAATCATCATCCTCATAATTCTTTAGAGTAATACTACTAATGAACCTGATCAGGAGAAAGAAAACCTCAGGCAAGAATTAGAAAGTACCCTTGAGAAAAAAGATGAGTTGGAGTCAATCGTTTATCAACTTAAGAAACAGGTTAGTTAATAGGCTACTAGATCTTTAAAAAAAAAATAAAGAAAAAAAAGAAAGAAAGAAAAAGAAAAATTATGTAGATTTATTTATTGCAAAATGTTGCATTAAAATTATGTAATAAATTAACATAAAAGTGATTCATTTTGTAATTTGAATGTCCTAACTGAACACTGATTGGATAAAAATAAATTGTTATTATTATCTTATAACGCATATAACTGCACATGATTCCCATTTGAATAATAAAAATTATATAAACTATTATTCAGATATGAATCATATTTATCTACATTGAACAGATGTATTTACTTTTCTTGCTTTGTTTCTCCATGCATACTAAACAAATTTATTTACCAAATTAAGCACAAAAAAGTGAGTTTTATATAAAACAGAAGTATTTTGACTATCTTAAATAATTGTTTACTATTAATATAAAATTCTGTTAAGTAAAATAACTGAAGAATGCCCAAAAGCTTTAAAATGTTCTTTACATTTTGCATTAAAATCCCAAAATAATATTTTTCTTGACTTCTATTCAGCAGTTTCTCTTTAAATCTTAAATTTATATTTAAAACATGATTAAATGACTTTCTAATTTTCAACTGAATTTTCATAACAAATCAAAATAATATGTTTATAGTCATTGAATCATAATAGTTTCAGATCAGAATAATCAAATCTTTAAATTACAGGAAAAAAGGATTTTCACAAGATGCAATTAACAAACTATTAGCATACTAAAGCATGATTAAACAGATCATCACAAAATAATATTTTTCAAATATTTTTCTTGAAAATAATATTTTTCTTGACTTCTATTCAGCAGTTTCTCTTTAAATCTTAAATTTATTTTTAAAACATGATTAAATGACTTTTTAATTTTCAACTGAATTTTCATAACAAATCAAAATAATATGTTTATAGTCATTGAATCATAATAGTTTCAGATCAGAATAATCAAATCTTTAAATTACAGGAAAAAAGGATTTTCACAAGATGCAATTAACAAACTATTAGCATACTAAAGCATGATTAAACAGATCATCACAAAATAATATTTTTCAAATATTTTTCTTGAAAATAATATTTTTCTTGACTTCTATTCAGCAGTTTCTCTTTAAATCTTAAATTTATTTTTAAAACATGATTAAATGACTTTTTAATTTTCAACTGAATTTTCATAACAAATCAAAATAATATGTTTATAGTCATTGAATCATAATAGTTTCAGATCAAAATAATCAAATCTTTAAATTACAGGAAAAAAGGATTTTCACAAGATGCAATTAACAAACTATTAGGACACTAAAGCATGATTAAACAGATCATCACCTAAATTGCTTTTTTGTGTCTTTTATCTCGTTTCTTTACTCTGAATATGCAAATCACTCTGAAAGTGTTGAAACTTGTGCAAAAAATACTTCTTATATAAAACACCTATTGTTTATTTGTGATTTATGCAGAATGAACATGAAATATGTTGTGTGCAAAGATGGACTCATCTGCAGTTTGGTGAGAGGTTGTTTTTGCCTTTGTTTAGTTGACTTTTAATTTTGAAACACTAAGCCACTCAATTCTAAACATTTTCATGTGCTAGTTTTTATGACTTTATGGTTGAACTATGTGCACACAAATATCATAAATGCTTACATGGTTTTGCATCTAATGGTTCTGTGAGACTAAAGGTGCATCCAAGAGATAATAAGAGGTTTTGTAAACAATAACAACATTTATTTACAAGAAAATATATGAAAATTTCAATCAATTAGAGATATATTGTTAGGCATCTCTGCCTTCCATGTCCTACACCTTTAGTATCCTGCCTGCCACTGACTATTGGAACGAACACAGTGCCCTCTAGTCAGAATGATGCTGGAAATATGTAATACTCCCTATTTGAACTCACTTGAGTTCACTTACCATTGAATTTCAACTACATTTACATTCAGGAACCATTTAAAATTACAAGAACAAAAATATAAATAGCATATTATATCAAATACAAAGCTTCAAAATTATTCAGTCACTTGACATACAAAAACAAATTACACTTTTAACTTCCAAAGAAAATTGTTCAAATATCAAGCCTTAAAATATAAGCACAATTAAACTATTATTAATACACAGATAGAACATTAACAGGTTGCGACTCAATTAAACTAACACAGTTAAGGATTAATTTCCAAATTATACACAAGTTGTACTGAGCGTTTTATTTGTCCTTTAGGAGTCTGAATAAGAAGAGAACGAACTTTTCCGTCTCTTCCTGGATATAGCTCTAAAATTTTCCCCATCATCCACATATTTCTGGGATAACGCTCATCATTAATCAAAACAATATCATTCACTTTAAATGAAACTATTTTACCTGGTTGTGGAGAAATATAAGCTGATCTTAGATTAAGTAAATGTTCCTTTCTCCACCTGTTCCAGAAGTGATTCAAAAGTGTTTGCTGATATTTATATTTCTTTACCAAAGAATTCCTATAAACATTTAAATTTTCATTTTTATGTTTTATTACAAGTAAAGACACCAACCTTTTACTGATAAGAAAATGAGATGGGGTGAGTGGAGAGGGTTCTGAGGGTTCGTTGTACAGATACGTGATATGCCTGGAATTAACCAGAGCTTCAATTTCCAAAAAAACAGTTTCCAATTCCTTCAAAGAGAGAGAGGATCGTCTAACAATTTTCTTTAAGCAGGTTTTAACCGTTCGTATCTGTCTCTCCCAGAAACCTCCCCACCATGGACTTTTTTCAACTATAAAATTCCAAACTATACCTTTAGAAGCAAACAAATTTTTAACTTGATCATTATCTATCTGATTCCACCATTTTTTCAATTAACAATTTGCTTTTTTAAAAGCTTTGGCGTTATCAGAATATATAGCGGAACATAATCCTCGACGAGAAACAAATCGTCGGAATCCTAACAAAAAAGAATCAGCACTTATGTTAAGAACTACTTCTAAGTGGAAAGCTCTTGTTACTGCACAGCTGAATATAAGTAAATAACACTGAATTAAAATCACGAACAAAAAATGGTCCGGCAAAATCCACACCACATACATCAAATGGTGGATGCTCTTGAATTCTATCAGGCGGTAAAAGGGCAACCACCTGCATTCCAGATTTCACTTTGAATCGTCTACAAATCAGACAGTTATTTAACACTTTTTTTACAAATTGACGACCTTTAACAATCCAGAATTGTTCTCGTAAATGTGTTAAAGTTGCATCAACACCTAAATGACACATTTTAGTATGAGAATCACAGATAAGTAGTTCAACAAATTTATCATTAGATGGAAGAAGCCAAGGATGTTTGGCTCGCATATCGTTACTTGAAAACTGTAAATGTCCCTTTAAACAAAGTAAGTTATTATCATCAAGTTCAGGATTCAAATTAAATATGCGTGAACTCTTATCGATAGTTCCTTTAGAAAGAAGTTGGTTAACTTCTGTACTATAATGTTTGAATTAGTAGGTTTGATCCAAAAACGCAAAGCTTGCTCGAGTTCTGGAGCACATATAGGTCCATTTAATTTTGTAGAATTAGGTTTAGAATTGTGCACAAACCTTTTAATCCAAGCAGTAACACACTAATCTACGTATTTCGCTGAAGTCATTAACGTCCAGTAATGACGACATAGGTAAGTTTCCATTAGCTGAACTGGTTACCATGGAATTAACCAGTGCAGTCCGTTGCTCTTTCACTATAACCCGTTCATCACAGATGTCATTAAAATGATGTAGCAATTCTTGAAGAGGCCACGAGTAAAGCGGTTTAGACAACCAGACAGGGCCTGACCACTACAGAGAACTTGTAAGAATCCTCTTAGCCGATTCTCCTCTAGTAGTAAGGTTTGCGGGATTGTTGGAGCCACTGCAATGGTTCCAACACTCTGGTAGAGTCAGCGACTGCACTTGAGCTACTCTGTTGGCGACAAATGGTTTCCATTGTGTAGAAGATCCTTTCAACCAATAAAGGACAATTTGAGAGCCGCTTCAAAAGAAAGTTTGTTTCACGAAATTAGGAAATAGACCTTGTAAATAATTTCCTAAACATGCAGCAAGGAGTGCTGCCATTAATCTTGCAAGAGCCAAAGTTTTTAAAGGAGCAACCTTACTTTTTGACATTACAAAGCTAATTTTGATTTGGCCATTGTAATTCATGTACCCTAGGAACGCAACAGCCCCATATGCCTTGGGACTGGCGTCACAAAAAGAGGAACTTCACTTATTTCTACACTCTCAAAAAACCTTCTTTCAATAGATACTGATTCAAATTCACAAAGTTCAGAACACCAGGTTTTCCATTTATTTTGTAGGTCACTTGGCAAATCTTCATCCCATTGTAGACCACGTTCCCACATCTCTTGCAGAAGAATTTTCACAGTGATTACTAAGGGACTAATCAGTCCACATGGATCAAATATCTTTGAAATAACTCTCAAAACTTGACTCTTGGTGATTCTAGCATCAATGGAATCCCTAACATCTCTTAAATCTAATTTAATTTTATCCTCAATCGGATCCCACTTCAATCCCAAGAAACCTGTTCCTTGCCCGAAGTCAGTATTTCCTCATATCCGTTTTCATTCCAAAGTTTATACAATTCCGGACAATTAGTTTTTAATTTCCTCAAATGAAATCCTGCTGCTTTCAATATCTCTATTGCCGTAGAAGTCAAATGATAAGCATCTTGAACGGTATTGGCTCCATAACACAGAGATCATCAACATAAAAAAAAGGAATTTAACATGTCATAAACATTTTGGATGATGTTCCTTAAATTTCTTAATGTGAAATTTCAAAACGCAAGCCAAGGAAAATGGTGAAGTAGGTTAAGCCGAAATGGGAGACAATTTAAATGGAGAGTTTCGTTGATAGAATCACCTACCTCTTCGGGAGACCACAAAATTTAAGGTATTTTCTATCTTCCTCCGCAATCTCTATCTTAAGAAAAGCTTTCTCTAAATCTCCGCAAAATGCAACTTGATATTTCTCGAAATTTAAAAATTAATTATGTCCAATAAATTTGCATAAAGATTTACTCCCGATTCTAGACAACTCATTTAGAGATTTATTATTTTCAATCAGCCGTTTACTGCTACAGTCATAAACAATTCTAACTCAAGTTGTTTCTTTGTCATCCCTAATTACCACTCTGTGGGGCATATAATATCTTGAATTTTTATCTTCATTAACACATTTTCCCACAATCTGACATTCTAACTGATCCGATATAATTTGTTTACGCTGGTCATAAATTTCTTGATTTTTATTTAGTTTGTGCTTTAACGAATCAAAACGCTTTTTCGCAACCTCATAATTAGAATTCAAGCCAACTGCAGGTCCCAAGTTTTCCTTCCACATCAATCTACAAACGTACCTTTCCCCATTAAATTCCAGAGAATTTTCAAATTTTTCAATCAATTGATTGTCCAATTCAGAAAAGTTTTGTTTGTGTGACTGAAATTCTTCTATTTCCCAAAATTTTTTCAAATCGCACAAAATGGAAGAAGAGTCCATGACTAAACATACATTTTCATAATTATTAGTCAATTTATTACTTCCTTCCACTCCCGCTAGTAACCAACCAAAACAAGAATTTATCGCAGTAATGTTTTCATTTAACATACTCTCTCGTCATAAACAACATCCCAAAATGAATCGCATCCAATAAGTATTTCCGTCTGACAGTCGCCAGAAAATTAATCAGCCAAAGGTAAACCTCTTTCCTTCAACGCATTGCGAATAGATAGATCAGGAATTTTCAAGGACAAATTAGATATATATTCCATTATGACAGCTTCTAACTCGTATGATTTCGAACTTTGATCCCTATTGCGCAACGTCAATGAAACGATACCGTATTCCTTCTCATGTGCCATTTTGTCTCTGAAAGCAAAAATAGCTATTCTTTCATAGCGTATTGGCCTTAATTTTAATTCTTTAACTAACTGAGATGAAATAAAACTTCGATGACTACCATTGTCTAAAATAACATTAGTTAAGACTGAATTTTTATCCGAACAGGCTAAAACTGTACATGTTTGTAAAAAAGGCTTATTTTTGGTACATATATTACTATGAGACACAGAAATATTCTCGGCGTTTTTATTAGATTTAGATTGTGAGTCATTCAAAACAGTTTTCGCTTTCCACTTGCTTCTCACAACCTCTCATCGTAACATTACCGGGTTTATTTTTTCTACACACAGACTCATGATGAAAATTGCTTAAACAATTTTTACACGATATTTTTGCCCTGCATTCGCGAGACATGATATTTTTTAAAACAACACCAGCATCTAGCTTCAATCTTCAGCTTATTTATTTTTTGTTCTACATCCAATTTTTTACAACTTATGGAATCGAGATGACCGTCACAGAATAAACAAAAAATTTTTATTTGTGTATTTAACGCTGAAGTGGTTGATATATTTTTAGGCTATGAATAGTTTTTCTGATAAGTTTGACCACTTTGATAATTTTGGGAAAAGGATCGTTTTGTTTCGTAACTTTTTAGGGAGCTAATCACAGTTTCGGCAATTTCCCTAGATTCGACTTCATTCCTCAAAAACGTAATAATTTCCGAAACCTCACAATTCACATACCTGTTTCGTTTTCGGTGAAAATCTAACACCAAATCTTGTGGTAGCAACTTCAATAATATTGGATTCAATAAATGCCCATATGAACCCTCCGTTACATTTAATGAATGCAAATTTCTTATATTAACTTCTATTTCATCGTATAACTTACGCAAACCCTTAACATTAGACGAACATCTCACGGGTTCTAAGCTTAATAATTTAGTCATGTAAGAATTTATAATAGAATCAGTTCTACCATATCTTTGTTTTAAAAGCTCAAGACATGAGTCATAGTTTTTCTCATTTAATTCAAAACCCGCAACAACGTTATATGTAGGACCAGAAAGAAGAGATTTTAAATATTGGAATTTTTCAATTTTCGTAAGTGAATTGTTTGAACCGATTGCGATGTCAAAACAGTTTAAGAATTCCATAAATTTGCCAGAATCACCAGAGAATCGCGAAATTTCTAACTTTGGTAATTTTAAAGCCGTAACGGAGTTTTCCAAAACACTAGATGTGTTAAGAACTGAAGAAGTCCGCTGAACATTTTCTGCTGCTAATTCTTTAATTTTGCTCTTTAGTTTAATCTTAGCGAACAATATTTTGTCATTGTATTCTTCCGAAGCTTTTAATTCACTTTTAAATTTTTCCAGATCGTCTATGAGTGTTTCCACCTCTAAATCATTGCTTTTCAAGATCTGCTCTTTCGTTTCTAATAGTTCCAGTAGTTCTGAAAATGAACTTACGTCTTTAACACCTTTATCAAGCTTCTGCACTCTTTTAAGTAGTTTAGTAACACTAGCGTGAACGTTACTTCTTTTTTCAATTATTTTCGAAAGCTTATTCATATTAACTCAATTTGTGAGTTCAAAAGGTCTTACCTCCACAGTCAGTATGCAATGTTACGTATCCAAAAGCATATGTAAAGTATCCAGATTTCTCAGAAATATAATCCAGTAATGATGACTAATTACTTCCGATATTCCACATTCACGGACAAGATGCACCAATTTTGCATCTAATGGTTCTGTGAGTCTAAAGGTGCATCCAAGAGATAATAAGAGGTTTTGTAAACAATAACAACATTTATTTGCAAGAAAATATATGAAAATTTCAATCAATTAGAGATATATTATTAGGCATCTCTGCCTTCCATGTCCTACACCTTTAGTATCCTGCCTGCCACTGACTATTGGGACGAAAACAGCACCCTCTAGTCAGAATGACGCTGGAAATATGTAATACATGGTGCTGTGGGGAAATCTCCATCCCAAACTGCACTTTTACAAGTGGTTCAGTACATTGAAAAGGGGGTGATATTCTTTACAAGATGGAGATTGCTGAAACTAATTGGCTGCTGCTTTAAATGATCGAAACATTATGCACTTTCAAATTAAAAGTGCTCTGTTACTCAGCTACTGATAGGAATCTTCTTCATGTGTCAAGAAGTTTTGCAGTTGCTGGATTCTTCATCATCTGGTAGAATAACAAAAATAGACTGAAATGGAACTGATGGGGGGAACTGGAAGATTTGATAAAGGATGCTCAAAACATGTGACAAATCTTGGCTTTATAAATATGATCCATAAACCAAACACCTGTTTGCCCTCTGGGCATTTTCATTTGAAGATTCTCCAATCAAGCTTCCTAGAGCTATATAAAGGGTAATGGTGGGCTTTTTTTTTTTTTTTTTTTTTTTCTGTAGCCAAACTTATTAAAACTACGATACTAGAAAATAAAAGAGCAGTAACAGTTGAATGGTATACTATCACAAAATGCTCACCTAGTGTATAAGTGTATAAACATAAATAAGTAAATAATAAGAATTAAATTACTAAAATTCGTTTTGGAGAAGTTCTATTGCTTCACAACAGTATGACAGCTTACGTATCTTGAAAAGCAGAAATAATTATTTCTTTGATATTTATCTGTTTTAGTATTAATTTTCAAGACTTTCAGAGTGACCTTTGTGTAAGCTGCTGTAAAAGGATACAATCAATTGTCTGGAAAAGGATACAATCAGAAACAGTAAACACTAGTACTTATATACAAGATATTTTTTTACTGTCATTATTTTACCCTCAGTAGAAGGTTCAGATTTCTTCAAAAGAATAAAAATTAACAAACTCAGATGAGACATTGATGTTATTCGAAATAAAACAATGTCAGTTGTATAATATTCTTTAAAGGTATAACAACCATCCTGTTCTATTAATTTCTTTGATTTAGAACTAAATAAAAACATCTTTAATGCTGAAATCTTTTCTTATCCTAAGCAGTAATAGTGATCAGTAATTCACCAGTATACTTAACCTAATGAGTGATATTGATCAATTTCTCACCATGCTAAGCAGTAATGTTGATCAGTAACTCACTAGTACTTAGTAAGTTTAATGCATTCAGTAGTAGTTCATTAATTTCAGTAATAGTTCTGTATTAAAACTGATATAAAAGTAAGATTAAAAAAAGTTGGTAAATATAAATTATAATTTAAATTAGCAATAGCCATTTAATAGCATCCATAATTCTAAGACATTATTACTTCTTAGTCTGCTTCGTTACATATATGTTTCATCTTTAATGGTGAACAGTTTCTTTCTATTAATGTTTTTAACATAATTGTCTTTGTTACTCTGAAAAAATTATTTAAATAGATAATAAACCACGCTTTGTATATTTCTCTTATACCTGAGTCATAGCATTTTCATTTTTTCTAATTGCTTAACCAAAGCACACAATTTTAATTAAAGAGTGTATATAATAAAGTATATGGTACTTACTTATTTATTTATTTACAAGCTAACTGAACGGGAAAAAGAAATGCTACAGTATACAGAAAAAAATTCTGAATTACAAAGTGAACTTGAAAAATCTCTCATCTGGAAAAAAAAGGTTGGTAGGAAATTGAACTGGATTATTTTTGTTCTCTCCAAGTTTTATATATATATATATATATATATATGTATATATATATATTATGTAAATTTTGCTGTTTCAGTATGATATCTTCTATGAGAAAACGTGTGCATTAAAGGAAAGATATGAAAATCAAATTGTTGAACTTATGAAGGAAGTGAAGCATTTGCAGTCATCTAAACATTCTGGAAATTCACCTGATTTTTCTGCTGAGGTATTTTACTTTGTGAATTTTATACTATATTTTTTGGTATGTGTCTGTGTATGTGTGGTTATAATTAAAGTTCTGTTTTGAAATGGCAATAAAAGGAAAACTACTGAACCATAAGTTATCAAACTTGGTAATCGTGTAAAGGAGGCCATGGGAATTTCTTTTCTGCTGAAAAAAAATGTTCAGAAACTCACCACCAGGGAAGAAATGGCACTGTATGCAATATTGTTAAACAAAGGCAATAAAAGTCGGGTGCACCATCTGTGTAAGGGAGAAATCTGTGAAAACGGCAAATTAGCGATTAGAAAATGTGAGATCGCAAATCACTTACAAAAGTGTGCGCATCCGAAACTAATTTTCCTAACTAATTTGTGAGTTTTGAAGCCTTACTTCGGCCTTAAGACATGAAGATATTGGTGTAAAATGTTTTTAATCATTTCTAAAATGAACCTGTTTGTGGGTTTATGCAGAAATGCAATGGCTTGTAATTGGCTTACAGAAGGAAGAAACAAATAATTTATGCAAATAATCTAAACAATATGCCGGAACTGGAAGATGTCATAAACCGACATGTCTCTGACATTCCTCCTGATATGCTAAGAGTTGCTGTTTAGAATGCAGTAATACGATTTAATTTGCTTTCAGAAAGTGGTGGGCGCCACATTGAACATGTTTTGTAACACATTTCAGAAACAATTAAACATGTTTTAAACCAATGTCTTCATATCTTATTTCATTTAACAACATTGCACACAGCGCCATTTCCTCCCTCTAAGTGAGTTTTTTAACTTTTTTTTAAGGAAAATAAATTCCCATAACCTCATTTACATGATTATCAAGTTTGATAACATTTGGTCCAGTATTTTGCTTTTTATGACCATTTCAAAATGGAACTTTAATTGCAACCACCCTGTATATGTATATACTATTGAGCTATAGCATTCTATTACATATATGCTTGTCAATTAAAATTTTCTTTTACACTTATTTTTTAGTTATTGTTTACTTTTTATTGTGCTACGAAATCAAATAAAATTAATTAATTCAAGGCATTTGACTAAGCCTGAAATAAGAAAACTGGGGGGAGGGGGAATCTGAAATTTTCAGATTTTATATTACACCCGAAGGAGTGGTTTTTTAACGTTTCTTGTGTTACTGCTATTTATTAAATATCGTGTTCTTCGCATTGAAAGCACAAAGTTCAATCAACAGCAGTATCACAACATATTTAAAAAGGTTGCTTGATCACTGTTGGAAGAAAGATTTTCAAATCATAGAGAATAGTTTTTGCCCTCATTAAGCAATTTATGTCAATCTCATCTTCACAGTGAATCTGCTAGTGCTTTACTAAATTTGTATTACATTACTTTCAAATGTATAAGATTGTTAGAAATTTTATAACATAAAATTGATGAGTTGAATGCAATGGTGTAAAGAAGTTCCTCAGCTTAAAAATTTAAAGGTTCTAGGATATATACTTGGTTCTTTTATTGATGAAGACGAAGAATTGGAAGTTCATAAATTTTCAGATGACATTGCTTATGGAGCCATTTCAGATGTCATTGCTTATGGGGCAGTTGTTTACATTAAGTTAAAGGTTGAGAACAAAATCGTAATCAATCTTGTAGCTTCAAAATCCAGAGTGGCTCCTTTAAAGAAGTCATTGCCAAGACTTGAGTTTAGGGTGCTTTGCTTGCGACAAGATTAGCTAGGTAACTGAAACCAATTATCGACATAAAACAAATATTGGAAAGTTTTTTTGAAGTGATTAGAAGGTCAGCTTATACTGGATTCAGAGCCCAAGTAAAAAGTGGAAACAGTTTGTATCAAACTATGTGAAGGAGTTATAAGTCTTGATAACTGAGGCTACGTGGCATCATTGTCCTGGCAAGTATAACCCAGCTGGTTTACTTACCATGGTGCAAGTATTGATTCTCTTATAAATAACCCAACTAGGTGAACTGGACCTGCTTTCCTAAAAGAAATTATTTCTGAACCTCTTTAAATTAATGTCACAGAGGATGAATCTTTTAATGAACTTAAAAAAGACTGTGATAATATTGACTCTTTGAAACTTTTTAGTATAACAAAGGACCTTTTTAAATCATATTTTTGACTTAAGTAATGATTTTATGCTTATTTTACGTGTTTTAAGTTTTCTTTTCAGATTCATCTATAATGCAAGAAACCCTAGCAACAAAAAAGCAGGGTATGTAACAGCTGCTGAACTGGAGCAAGCATAGATTTTTTTAATCAGATGCATATAATCTCAAGAATTTTTACCAGAGCTCAAAAGTTTATCTCAGGGTGAAACAAATGCTCCCAATAGTAAACTAAAACGTTTAGCCCCTTTTTAGAGTTGTTGGTCACCTCCAAACTTCTAATCTTGAGTTTTGTAAAAGACATCCTTCTGTAAAGACTTCCACCAAAAAAATATTTAACAGATCTGATTGTAATGTATTTTCACAAGAACTGCTTTCACGTGGAACCACAGACTTTATTATTTTGTATGAGAGAAAAATATTCAGCCCATAAATGGGAGAAATGTTTGTAGAAAAATTTGCCATCAATGCATTGTTTGTTTTAATGCAAATCTACTTCTGCTCAGTTAATGGGAAATCTGCCATCTGAGCATGTTAATGAAAACTTTGCCTTTAATGATACAGGCATAGATTTTTTATACCCTTTCTTGTGAAATACAAAAAACCAACATAAAGGTATATTTGATAAGGTTTATGTTGCCGTATTTATTTGCTTCGCAGCCCATGCAATTCATTTGGAAATCATAACAGATCTATCAACACAAACTTTTATATCTCATCTTAAAAGGGTTTTTTTTTTTTTTTTTTTTTTTTTTTTTGTTAACATGTATCCCCAAAAACAGACTGTCATGGAAGCAAAAAATAACTATATGTTTTAAAAAAAAGTGGCAGTTATGGCGACAAAATTACCTTAATAATTTATATCAAAGATCAAAATGGCAGTTTTATAAAAATAATGTTAATGTTGGAACTGTTGTACTTATAAAGGATGAGTATCTTCCTCCAACCAAATGGTTGGTTGTTAATATTAGTGAGATATTTCCAGGCAAGAACAGAAAGGTAAGAGTCCAGCTTGTGTGGAAATGAGTGTGTTCCTGCATTGTAGCATGAATGTTCAAAGACTTCTCGAGTTGTGAAATAAAAGCTACAGTCCTAACTTTATAATATGTTTTAGAGATTTATTGAGTGAGTTATAATAATTCTTTAGTGCTGTTCAATTTATGAAGGAAAATGGTGGGTATTGCTATTCAAATTTCAAATTTTTTTCTATATAACCATAACCATGAGAGCTCTATTGTTTTAAATCATTGCAATCGCAAATGCATACCTTGAAATAATAATGTCTGAAATTTCGTTTTAATTGGCTGAGCAGGAGCCACTAGGGTTTGTATAAAAAGCAAGTTTTTCTTATGACTACCCTGTACTTCAAATACTAATAAAAAGTGCATATAGTTTTTTTTTTTTTTTTTTTTTTTTTTTTTTTTTTTTTAATATTTAGAGATCGAGTAATACTCTGAATTCGGTAAAAGTATAGTTTAGGGTACCCCTTGGTGAAACTTGGCGATTTTTGGCAGTACATGGATACCGATTTTGTGCAATTCTTTGACTCGTTATTTTGGTTTGCGCCCAAAATCGCCACTACACAAAGCCAAAATAACAAGACAGACAATTGCACAAACTCGTATCCATGTACACATCAACTTATTTTCACTTTAAAAAAATCTCCGAATTGCACAAAAATGGCATTCCACACTCCTTTGACTTTAGCCATATACACGTTGACCTATTTTCACTTAAAAAAAAATCCCCAAATTGCACAAAAATGACATTGCACACTCTTTTAACTTTAGCCATGTACACGTCGACCTATTTTTCACTTAAAAAAATTCCCAGAATTGCACAAACTTGCATTTCGCACTCCCTTTACATTGTCCATGTACACATCGATGTATTTCACTTAAAGTCAAGGAGCCCAAATTCTACAATAGGCAAACAAAAAATACATAATTCAAAAAATACATTTTAAACAAACAATAAAATAACATAAAAAAGAAAAACATGTTATACATTTAGAACTTCCAAAGCAAATATTCACTTACCTGATTTCGAGTTTGCTTTGTACACCCAAGCAGTAAAAATCAAAATCAATCATACTCAAATGACTTTTCCAAACCAGGTACTCTTTCGATCGAACGCTTAACATAGTGACCATCTGAACCTTTCTTCCTACAAACCCATTCAAACCATCTAAAACAGTTTTACGTTCGACTCGACGCATATCCTTCCTACATACAGGACACAATGGCTACTAAGTAAACCTTATTTACACACAGTCAATTAAAGCTCTTTTCCCTTTCGCTCCAAATCGTACAGAAACTTCAAATTAATTTACTACATTCGGCCATTCTACCGTCTAAAGAATAAAACCATACACACACCACAAAAAATGCTTACAAAACATCCCATTATTCAAAATTTCCAGAATCATGCACCCGATTACGTCACAGTAGGGTTTCCATAACATTCAACTACTCAGGCTACCATAAATGAAACAACAACTTGGCGATAAATCAAACAACAACAACTTCGCCATAATACAAGGGGTACCTTAAAGTCTACTCTACCCCTGAATTCAGTTGTACCTTCCTGTTGGTTTTTCAGCATATTTAGCACATACTTTATTTTCTAGATTAAAAAGGTAATGAATGCTCTTTACAAGCTTCTACAAGGGAAATTTGAACCAAATACTGCATATCCTGGAGCTAAAGTATTAGAAATGACACTGCAGACTATTAGGGTACTTGTGATTCTTTTATACAACTTATACAACTTAAGTTTTTTTTTTTTTTTTTTTTTTTTTTTGTTATTGTTGTTGTTGTTGTTTGTCTTTTGATATTGTTTCCTTCTTTCCTCTATGCAGGGTTTGACTTTTCAGATGTTGGAAATGAAGCGTAAATCTTCTACAGATTCATCTGAACAAATTTCTGATCCTGGTAATAATTTTAAATGTTAGATAAGTTTTTAAAGGAATAAATATACAAACCTAGTCTCAAATGCAATTTATTATTTTTAAGATGATAGCCACTATTTTGGAGAAATTGATCTTTTTTGTGAAAGTGGTAATTTTATGGACATATTGGTCATTTGGTATAAATGTTGATATGCGCTCTTGGGTGTACTAATCAGTTTCAAAGGTTATCATGTTTCGCCATTGGTTACTTTGAAAGATTTCACTTCATAGAGAGAGGATCTTAAAAGATAATCCTATTCTGTATAACAAACAGTGTAATTGGTGGGTATTTATATACCTATAAATACCTTAAATTAAACTTTACAGTGTCCACACTTTTTGTCAGGTATACCATATATTCAGATATGTAAGATTCTTTTGTTGAATGACACACATCCACCTTGTAGTTCAGATGAGAAAACAATAGTGTATACCTCACCTGACATCAAAATCTGTTAGACCTTATTTCCTGAATTGGGGGAGGGTAGCTCCTTTATTGTGCTGCTATTGTCATGCAATCTTCATGAACTAAAATCTATAATATATCTGCCAGCATGTCAATCACATGAGATCTACTTCAACTCATGTGGAATGATGTATGTTCCATGACAGAATGATGTCAGTCTGTGATATGTGACAAAAAATTTGGATAATTTAATTTAATCTATTGTAAGCAAATATAGGTCAGTTAAATTGTTTGCTATTATAATTTGTAGCAGAATGACTGTTCTTGATTTATCCTATATTGAGAGCTAAAATACATCCAGGGTCAAATTTCAAGTTTAAATTATTTAATTTTAAAGGCATAGAACAACTGTATCATCCATCTTTGCTATTTAGTATTTTTATTGTTAAAGTGAAAATGTTTCATTTTTATGAATTTTATATCTAGTGTTATGTATCATTCTTAAATATATAATAAAAAGTCAGTCATTATACCTTCGTTAGGGCATTGAAATGTTGAAAGTAAATATTGGAATTCTGTGTAGCTTAGTATTTGTTGTGCAATTTTTTTGCTTTCTTTATTTCTTGTAAAAAAAATCTTTTTAGAGTTTTTATTGGCTAATTTATATATATATGCTGATAAACATATCGAGTAAAGTAGCTAGTTGCTTAACGCAATGAAATAAAAAAAAGAGTATTCATTTATGACAAAACTTCAGATTTAATTTGATTTAATTTGTTATTTAAAACTTCAGATTTAATTAGAAACTTCAGATTTTTCATTTGTAAGAAAAATTTAGAAAATATGATGATATATTTTATTTCTTTCTAACTGTATGATTTGTTAACAAAATATATCATCCCTTCCAAAATGTGTATAAATTAATTGAAAAAAGCACATACTTGAGAATTTAAAAAACAGAAATTTTCTATAGCTTTTATTTTGAAAGAGATCATAAAATTATATTATACTGTAAAAGGTATGTTTTTTGTTCTGTATTTTCAGGAAAGTGCTCAGTTGATGATGGATTAAAATCAAAATCAAATGCACTTGAAAAGAAAACAGAGAATGAAATATCAGACCAGCTCATTTCTAACGAAACTGAAGTATCTTCACTTCCTCAAAATGGTTTTCCTGAAGAAAATGCGATTGACTCTTCATTTAACAAAGAGCAGATAGAAAGTAGTACAGTTAGCAATATTAGTGAGCATAGTATTTCTGAAAATCAACCAGAACCTTCGCCTATTAGCAAAGATCAGTCAGATAGTAGTGCATCTAGCACTACTATTAGCAACAGTATTGAGCAAACTGTTTCTGAAAATCAGACAGAACCTATGCAAATGGAAAATGCTCTGAACAACATAAGAAATGATGATACTTTACATAATAACCTAGGTTTGCAGATTTGTATTATCTTAATTTTTCTGTAAAATGCCCAAACACTTACTTTTTACTTAAACTGTATTTTTTTACAGTTGTCAAAGTAATGATAAATTAAAATTATGTTAATTAAATATGAAATCTAACTTTTTATCAATATTTTTTATGATTAGAATTATTTTTTTCTTTGAATAGATATGTTAAGGTAAAGTTTTAGAATTTTGTTTAAAAAAATTAAATCATCATTATTTTACAAATCTTAGACATATCATAGGAAGAAAATTAAAAATATGTTCTGTTTAGTTTGTATGGATGTGTTTATATTGTGAAATTAGATGAATACTAAGACTTCAGATATTTATTATAGTATTATACTGTGTAGAGACATTAGGTATTTTTGGAAGCAGGCAACATGAAAAATGAGCAACGGCTTCGCCGGGAATCGAATCACGAACCTCTGGAATGCACACCCAACATGCAGACCACTACACCACGAAGACACACTAAGAAGGCGAGAGAAATACTTTATAACTGAAATGAAAAAATTTTCTTTTAAAGAAGATTTAAAGCATTTGGAAATTTTTATCTTGGTTCTAAATATATGTATAAATATTACAAAAAATTACTAGCAAAAAAGAAAAGTCTACAAAGGAATTTTTGGCAGTATTTGATTTTGGCATGTTTCTTGATGTCATAAATTGACTTAAAAGTATTGATCAGTGTTTGCTTTCTACAAGTTTGAAACCTATATATATGCACGCACCGTGTCCACAGAAGCCCTTACCTGGACTTTATTTTCACAACAGTTAGTCCTAGACATATACCTCTAATTAAAAAAAAAATGCTTTAAATAATGCAGATATTCATGGTGTAAATTCGAATGCATTCATGGTTTAAATTTGAATGATATTGATTTTGTAAAAATTACAAAATCTAACATTTTATATATTACACTAGTCCTTATTCTTACATTTAGGAAAATTTTGTATTCATTTAAATGAGTTAACTAAAAATAAATTGAAATAAAAGAAAATAGACTCCCATACAATAAAAATTGAAGAGCAAAATATCTGCTTATTATATAACTAAGAATAAAATATCAGTTTTAAAAAATATTTCTGATGTTTAGATTAAGTGGCAAGCATTTCTATGCAGATGTCAGGAAAAGCATTGATAAATGTAAAGTTTTTGAAAAGGGAGATTTTGCTGAAGCTTATAAAACTCATATTTTAGAAAACAATAGCAGGCTTCTGTATTTCAGTGTAACCGATTCATAGCATTATGTGCATAAATTAAAAATATTTCTGGTTTAATGAATTTTTGCATGATTATTAAATTGTGATTTAAAGTAATACACCTGAAGGTATTAATAATGTATTTTAAAAGTTTATACATTACTCATGTGAAAATTCTTTTTGCATAGCAGTTCTAACAAAATTATAAACTAAACAGTAAATCACAAAAGAATATCATTGAATTGCATTTAAGAAGAAAAATCAAATGTAAATTATTAAGTTTTGTATATTAATTGATCCATCAAGACAAGTTAAAAATGACTTCTAAAATCCCAAATTTTGAAATTAAATTTCTCAGTCTATATCAAAGTCAAACATCAAACTTTTTTTTTTTTTTTTTTTTAAATGTGTAAAATTTTCCTAAGTATAGAAGTGAGAGATGTAGAGAAAGTTAATTTCATAATGTTATATTTTTTCTTTAATTTAAAAATGTCAAATAATGAATTTTAATATCATTTAAAACATTTTTGTAACTGGAAGTGAATGTCTGAAAATAAAGGCTGGGTAAAGACTTTTGTGGGCACAGTATATACCGGGTGGCCATAATTAAACTGACAGCACTCACAGTGTTCTGTAGCGCGATCTATTTGGGAGAATGACGCCACATTTTGTAGGAAGATTAAACAAGACGCGGGACGAAAGATTCCGCGAAAAAAACAAATTAGTTCCAAAAGTCACCGCTAGGGGAATATTGGCGCTGTGTAATAGAAAATAGAGTGTTAACAAATGCAAATTAATACGAATAAAATTACCTTTTATTATGCACATTTTTGATTTAGTTCAAGTGCAATATGGCAACACTTTTAAAAAAGGTAAAATCTACATAAACACCAATAAAGTCTTTGTGATCTGCAATATCAGTACGCTGAGCAGAAGTTTCTTTATTCAAATTTCACGTTATATCCATTCGCCACAGTGCCAGCTGCTTGGGTTTTAAAGGCAATGTGTTACGTTTCGAATCAATCGGATTGAAAGTTTATGTGCAATGTCTCCTTCTTTAGTCGAGCGTGCGTTACTGGTCAAATTCTTTCACCTCAACCAGTGCAATGCGTCAGCCGCTCTTCGTGCTTTTAGAACGCACAAAAAAATGCGTAAAGGTAATGGTCCTGTGTCAGTTAATGGGCTAAAAGCAATGGTTGCGACGTTTGAGAAAACAGGTTCTCTGAAGGTTCAGTCAGGCAGAGGACGAAAACCTGTACCACAGGATACAATCGAAGCAGTTGCCACGGCGATTGTCGACAGAGGACCAGACAATATTGCGTCCACCTCTAGCGCTCATGGAGTAGCTCGGAATATGGATATGCCTTACAGTATGGTATGGAAAATCTTATGAAAGATTATCAACTTCTATTCGTACAAGATCAGCCGTGTACAGGAGTTACTGTACCCCGACCATGATAAGCGATTGACTTTTGCTGTCACCTTTCTTGCCAGAATGGAGGTGGATGATGCTTGGCCGTGAAAAATCTTATGGGGAGACGACAAGGCCTACTTTTACCTGATGGAACTGTGAATACCAGAACTGCCGAATTTGGGATGACAAACACATGCAGTCACAGCAATTCCCTTACATTCACCAAAGGTAACTGTTTGGTGTGGGTTCACAGTGGAATTTATCGTACGTCCATTCTTCTATGAGAACATTACCCTGACAGCACCAGAAACCTGTTCTTTTACCAGAGAGAAATATCGCCACATGTTGAAGAGCTTTGTCATTCCGGCACTTCAGCAAAGACAATGCCTGGGGGAAATCATATTCATGCAAGATGGAGCCCCTCCTTACGTTTCTGTATGGGTGCAACAGATGCTACGACACAAATTCACAACAGAAAGAGTCATTAGTCGCTACTTTCCAACTGCATGGCCACCTCAGTCGCCTGATCTTACCCCATGCGACTTCTGGCTATGGGGTTACCTTAAGTCCAAGGTCTATCAAGGAGTGGTCCAGGACCTGGCTACATTGAAGAATAACATATCACGGACTGTACGGGAGAACCTGCAGACATGTTACTGTCTGCTGTTGTGCATACTGTGCACAGAATGCAATATGTGGTCACAACAACGGCAGCCACATTGAACATCATTTGAATGCAAATAAAAGGTAATTTCCGTATTGATTTGCATTTGTTAACACTTATTTTCTATTACACAGTGCCAAATATTCCCTAGCGGTGACTTTTGGAACTAAGTTGTTTTTCGCGGAATCCTTCGTCCCCCGTCTTGTTTAATCTTCTTACAAAATGTGGCGTCATTCTCGCAAATAGATCGCGCTACAGAACACTGTGAGCACTGTAGGTTTAATTATGGCTACCCTGTACACATATGGTATAAAAACAAAAAGTAATTTGTAAGTAATTAGGTCTTAAAATTGGTAACTATTAAGCTATGCACTTGAAAGCTGCTGTAATTTATCGGAAATATAATAAATAGTAAAAAAAAAATAATTTTTTAAATCATGTTCCATTGCAAAATAGTGAATAAAACTAATGCAGAAAACTAAGTAAGTGATAAACAAACATAATTTTTTTAATTAAAAGATCCCAGAAAAACCAAAGAAGTTTTTTAGATTTCTTGCGACATCTTCATCAGGAGGTTGATTCCCAAGAAATGTAAAAATCTTGGCCTGTTTCTGAACTGACTAATGAACAATTTAGTCAGGCCAAATAATTTGACAGTACTTAATTAAATGATTATTTTAATTTAAATTGTTTGTTAGTTGTCCAACCTTGACAAGCTACATATGTAATAAAAAAGTTCTTTGCTAATTATTTTGTTAAGCGAATAAAAATAAAAGAAACTGTGGAATTATAAAAATGTACATAAAATAATTACAAAGCCTGAATCAAAATGCAAAAACACGTAGTATTAGGTTGTTTGGAGAATAAATTTTTCTGAGGGGGGGGAGTTTTCTTATTATTTCCAAATGTTTTATTGAATTCTGTATTGACCATTTTCTGCAATACCTTTTGCAGTCTTTTTAGTAGTAGAATGATTCTATGCTTAAAAAAGTTCTGGTCTTTGCATACAAAAAACTGATCTAAGTGTTTTTTGACATCTTCATTTGAAGTAAATAATTGACCATTTAAAATATTTTATAAAAACTGAAACAAGGGTACCTAGATTGAAGAATATGGTGTTTATGCTAGCACATCAAAAGCTGAGTTTTTAAATTCGGTTGAGGTATGGTATTTTTATAGTGAAACACTACACCTCTCCATTTAATCAATTCTGGCATCATCCAGTTTGTCCACTTGATGGCAGTATACTTTAAATTGATTGTGTAATTCTGGTAGAAGCTAGAGGGAGGGACTTAATATCTCATCATATAGAGAGCATATTTTTCTGGTGAAATAAGCGTTTAGTGCTTTGAGATCATTCATCTCTTCTACTCCATGATCTCTCACATTTGATATTGCTGCAAACAGTCCATTTCTAACCAACAGCTTCGGTATGACCTAGTATATCTCTATATTGTATATATAATCTGTCTATGTTATCCCTATATTGAGCTTTGAAACAGAACAAAATCATTTCAGATTGTCATAAATTACCGAATTTGACAAATTTAATCTTTTAGCAATTTCATATTTTGTTATTTTGCAATATGCCTCAAACAAGTGTCTTTATTTTATCTTCATTAACTTTGACTAGCCTTCCAGAATATTTTCTGTATTCGATGGGTTACACAAATTAATTTTTTTTACAAATAAGCCTTGAAGCATCAATTGTCAAAATATGTAATGACAGTGTGGTTTAGAATGAAGTTAGCTGGTTTAAAATATAACTAATCCTTCTGGCAATAAATAGAAAAAAATGAAAGTATTTTCTGAATAACCTAATAAATAGATAGTAATTACTGCACCACAGAGCATTTTGTCATATGTAAATGCAATTTGAATTATGACTTATTGAAAATGACAAAAGTGTGCAATAGCAGCCAGGATAGGGACCTATAAAAGACAACAAATATGTAGGTATTAAGCTGAAAAATATTAGCTCTTAAGCAAACGGCAGAATGTAAACCTTTTAGTAAACCATAAAATTCCTTATTCAAAGGACAGAACTATATGCTAGTCAATGTGAGTAAAACTTTTACATAAACCAGGCAGTGAGAAATGCTATAAGCCACCCAATCTTGTAAACGTCAGGAAACATGGTAGCACATGGCTGCTTTAAAGCAAACAGTGTTTTTATTTATTAATGATAATTTTTAATTTTACTAACAAGTTAGTGAAGTGTATTAATCACTTCTATATTCTAGGCACTTTTATGTGTGTGTGTGCATGTTTACATTAAGATAAAAAATATAAAGAACAATTATTAACAAATTACTAACTGCCGTTGGTAACAGCCCTTTACATTCCTAATTTTAATTAAAATGCAACTCCTTCAAAGTATCTATATTATGTCGCTGATGTCATTCTTTCCCTGCAGAAAACCGCAATGCGAAAGCTCTTGCCCAGTTGTCATTCAGAATTAAAACAAAGGAGGCAAGCTTAAATATGCCATGATATACACACTTTTTTGGGGGGCAGGCACTTGCATTTGCCTCCTAAATGATGTCTCTTCGCTAAGCTGCATGTTTCTCTATTATTTGTGATGTGAACTGTGTATACGAAAATTGTAGGGGTGCATCACACTTTCAAGAGTGATATGGACTGCAAGAATGTTCGCTGAAATAAATATATTTTGTGATTGTCTAAAATTATTATTTCTTGTTTTTACAAAATTACATCTAGTTAAGACACCACGAGTATGTCTTAACTAGATGTAATTTTACACTAACTAGATGTAATTTTACAATGACTGACATACTGGTGGCATCATGTAGTTAAGAGGCTACCACGAGTATATCTGCCACTTCCAATCATCTGTCATGCAACAGTTTTGAGCTATACTCTAACATTAAGTTATCTACAACTAAATAAATCATCTTATATATATATATATTAGGTCAGTCCATAAATTCTTGCACATTTTTTGTTAAATTTTTAAATAATATAAAAAAACAATTTAACATTTTAAACAATTATATATTTTCCTCCATTATCTACAATGTCTTGCCATCTTACAGGCAGCTTTTTTTATGCCATTGCTGTAGAAAGACTCTGGTTTTAATGCAAAAACACTTGAAAGTTCATTGTGTACATCCTGTTTAAAATTTATTTCCCCCCCCCAATTAAAAAAAATTATGTAAGGCATGAAAGTAAGTGAAAATCACTTGGGACAATACTGGGGAGTAAGCAGCATGTGGCAAAAGCTCCCGATTAAATTCACTAATTTTTTGCAGCGTTGTTCAAGCTGTATGCAGTCTAGCGTTATCATGATGAAACAACACTTTCTTGATATTCACCAAATGTGGGCGTTTTTTTATCAATACTGAGTTTAGACGGCAAAGTTGTTGATTATAAACTTCTGAATTAATTGTTTGATTTGGTTCTAACAGTTCAAAATGTCCTGAACAGGGTTCATTATCAATGCTGCTTTTTCCAACTTAAAATTTTTTAAACCATTTCTGGGCAGTCTTTATACTAATAGTGGGTTCACTATGTACACTATTAATTTTTATCGTTGCTGACCTGGCAGATTCACCACACGAAAAAAAAAATGTAGCACAGCACGTTTGTACTGATAATCTATATTCATCTTCTGTGGGTACTAAAATGCATTTGATATTTACAAAAAAGGTAATGAACTGAATAATATGTTAGTCAAACGATGACAAGTTTCAACAGGTTCAAAATTGCATTGTTTTAGTAAATGCGTCATATTGAATTCCACGCATACTCTTAACGCGCACGAACGTATGGTCTGACCTGATATATTCCAGCTGAAAAAACTTATTTGTCAGTAATTATAACAACTGTTTTAGGTTCAACTTGTCATCACTAACAATAAACTAAAACAACTAGAATTATGAAAATAAGAAAGCATTATTTTCCCTTATTAGAGTGTTATATTTATCAGTTGCTTTTAAGTTTCTTTCTCATATATCTTCTGATGAAATTAAAGGCTGAATTTTTTAAGATTTTTAATAACTCTTTTTTTATTAATTTGATAAAAATGTATATAATTCTTAGGTACTACAGCTGTCGATAAATCAGAAGCTGATGGAAAACTAAAAACTGAAACAAAAGAAGCTGCACAGGATAGTATGCGTGCTTCACCTGATGTAAGTGTGATTGCTAAATTGAATTTTAAGGAGCCCCTAATTTCAAATTTTTTTATTAGTTTCTTGTGCTTAAAAAAATGTTTTTATATTCTAACTGATTTTTTGTATTTATAATTTTAATATTTCTCTTCAAATCTAGTTTACTTTTTCTTTTAATGGAACTAACCTATTAAGCACTAAAAGTTTCTGTACTATTCCTTTCTTTACTCTTAAGAGTGTTCAACATGCATTTAATTGTAGTAATAAAAGGGATTTTCGGTTTAATTTTTAAAAGTACATAAAAGTAATGCATTGTTGTTTAAATTCTAAAGAACTGTGTATTTTCATTGTCGTGTTTGATATATATATATTGGTGATTAAATAAAAAATTTTTAATTTTGTTGATTTTTCAGCATAAACTTGAGGCATTTTATGAAAACCCTAATAGCGATGTGGGTTACCTATAGCTCATACAACAAATAGCAAATTATTAACATCCTAGTTCTATTAAAGTAAATATAAAAGTGCCCACTTATTTTATAAGTTACAACAGAATGTCTTTAATCCACTCATCGTGAGATTAAGGATTGCACAAATTAGTGAATTTGAAGGTTTACACTTTTTCTGGTTTTCATGCTACATTTAGATTATTTGCACATAAATAACTAAAACAAATGCATATATTAAGAATTAATACAAAATCATCACATTTGTAAATATAATTATACGTTTATATATATAATATTATTATTTTTATATTTTGTAACATCGTGTCTATTGATGCTTGTTTTAATAATTTTGATTTCTACAATTTTTTTTCTGCTAGAAATTTTAGTTATTGTTGATCTTATGTTGAACTCAAATTGAAAATAACTTTTACTTTGTCATTATCAGACTTACTATCTGAATTTATATCAGCTTGGCTTAATATTAACTTAAAATAATTTCCCCGTATCTATTTAACCTTTTGAGGCCAGGGCTTTGGTAGCAGTAAAAGCTACCAAAGGACGAATCTTCAACCGAATGATTTCCCCCTTTAAGAAATAACCTCCTATTTGCAATAAAGATTTTTTGTGTAGTTTAATGGATTCTTAGAGGGGTGCATCTATGTCGCAAAAGGAAGACTTTTGAAAGAGATAAGTGGTTAAAACTACAGGGACAACAAATTTGACATTTCACCCCACTTTTCAGCCTGGAAAATGGGGGGGGGGAAGACATGGCCACTAAAGTAGACAACCCCATCTTTTCAAAGAGAGGACTTTATGGCCACTATAATGGCCATCCCGTCTTCAAAAGGTTAATAAAATTTTTATATTCTAATATGGGCCTCATTTTTTGAAAATAATCTAAATTTAAAATATTTTCATTTTAAAAGTATACGCAAATCTGAAACTTCATTTTTTGGCAAACAAAGCAATTTTGGCTGCTTTGGCTTTTGTATATAATTTAAAACCATGATCACCGTAGTTACTTTTGTAAAGGTTGTCCGTAAACGCAGAACATTCAGCAATTAAAAAAAAAAAAAAAAAAGCACATATTCACTTGCTAGTGTACAGTGTTATGATGATACAATTCAAACCCAAAATGAAAGTGGTGCAAGGTAAAAAAAACATAGTAAAGAGAAAAGAATAAATGATAGAGAAATTTTTTGAGGAATGAAAGTGTTCTTTAATAACACAAGATATATGGCATAAACAAAACTCCATATCTACCACTAAAATTGCTTTCAAAAATATTTTTTGTACTCTAAAATTAAAATATAAATAAATAACTACACTGTTTTCAAATATCCCATCTGGAAGGTTTCCCTTAATCCCTAGGCATTACATTCCATACGTGCATGCTATCAGCAGTTACAGAAAATTCAAGAAATGAAGTTTTATATTTTTAAAAGAATTTCTGTGTCCTTTAGCATCCTTTTCTTTGCTGTTTATTTTGCATGGCAGGAAAATCCTGACAACAGAAAAAGCTAAATAACCTAATTAATAAAATTAACTTTTTCAACCAAATTATGTTTCTAATAGAGTGTGTTTTTGTTAAGAAAGCATATACAAATAACCCAAATTGTTCATAAATTTGTCACCATATTGAATTTGAGACTTGGAAGTTTTTTGTTTGCATCCAAAATTATGTGCAGATTATGGATTAAGCATTTGCAGATTATCAGAATTCTACTGTATAATGTTGGAGACCTCTGGAGCAGACTTAATAATAGGTAATTCAGTATTTCATGTATCTGAAAGGTAAGCTATTCTATGTGCTTCTGTAATGTCTATGTTTTTTATCTAAAATCATCAATGCAAATTTCCATATATCAGTGTTACATAAATCATTAAGTTCCAAAGCTTGATAACCTGTATATATTCTCTTTTGAAAAGCCCCATTCTCTGATTTTTGAAAGTCATTAGTTTTTGATGGATAAAACATTTCCCCCTCCCCCTCTTTTTAACATAAGACTAAATTTCTGAATGATAGAGATTCAGGACTCTCTCAGGGACAAAAAAAGTTTAATGATGCAAAACGTATCTTAAACTCCAAAAGCTATAGTTTGTGTTTGTAGCTTATTTGTTAGTTAAAAGACCAATACAAAAGACTTTTTTTTTAATTAGAATTGTGGTTGAGCCACAGTAGAGTCTCAAAGTTAGGCAGAAGTACACAATATTTTATTAATGTCACAAGTGCAAGTATATATTTTATTGCTGTATCTGAAAACTGGGATGTTTGAAGACGAATACATTCATGTAGAGGGATTTGAGTTAAAGGCATTCATGAATAAGACATTTAAGAGTAAAAACGAAAAGTTAGTGATGCAGCAATTTATAGACATTTAAACAATGTTGCAGATTTACATAAATGTATATTTCAGTACATAATAGGCTTAGATTATAAGACATTGGTACAGGGGATATTTGTGTGGTCAATATTGCAATTAATGGTGAATCGCGATGTATATTGTCGTGTGTCAACATTCATTCTGAAGTAAATACATCAGGTTTAAAAAAGTTCCTTTTTAATGCACTCATAGTCTGTTAATTTATGAAGAGTTTCATATTAACAAGAATATACCATTGATTATTATGGAAGATTTTAATATCGGTATAAAAGGAAATGAGAAAGTGTTTGGTTTTATAAAACAGTACTTTAATCTTAACTTGGTACCAACCAATTATCCAAATACTTTAGGTCATTCATATATAGATTGTACTTTTTTGTAATTTTTGAAGAAATGTCAGTGTTGAAATTATTGAATTATGTGTGTTACTTTTCATATCATCGATCAATTTTGCATAAATTTTCAACTACTCCACATTGTATTCAGGAATAATGTTAAGAAGTAAATAATTAATTTCATTATTCTATTAATTTTATTTTATTTTTCTCCAAATTTCCCTTAAACATTCAACTTTAAAGTAACAAAATAACATGTAAAATAAAACAAAAAGAGCAGTTAATCAATAAAATAACAATTAAGAAACATTAAAATTCTTAGGAACTAGTCTTATGCAACTAAGCCTAGTGCCCATTTAGAATAAACATATCATAGACAGCTTCCTGTCTTTTTTTTTTTTCCTCCGTACTCTCTTCCTAGCCCAGATTTTTTTTGAAAAACTTAGATCTTTTCCAGTGATAGGGAGATTACCTGTAGCTTCTTGTTTTAACGAAGCTCTCCTTGTGGCAATATTGTTTCTACATGCTGGACAATATCAGTCAGACGACTGAATCAGTAACTTCATCTTCTACAATTTCATTTCTTTGTATTTTTATTATTGTAGTTAATCAGAAAATTTGCTCTCCTTCTGTAGGATATAGTCTTTTTAGCTATAACGAAATATAACTAGATCTAAGTGTTAATCCTTTTGAATACTCTCACAGGTTTGAAGATGAACTCAACTAGGGAAAGGACATAAAAGACCCTTTTATTGAGCACAATATAATTTACACATGGCACAGACTTACATGCTTACAAACAGTGAGCGGTGAAAATATACATAGTACTAAATTAAAGGTAGAAGTAGTACAAGATTATGCAATTCAGTTTAAAACTAACAGGTTGACTCAAAACCTACACCGGCAGTATAGTAATTCAGCGGCAAGAATGTGTAGCCAATATATAAGATTAACTGCTGGAAGAATCAGTAGTATGTGCTCACAGTAACGAAATCACACTCTGTTAAACTTTTCACTGCAACAGTTTAAATACTCTCGTTCATCTTTACTCATTTACAACCTGGTGAGAAAATGCAAGAGGAATAAGAAAAAAGAGAAAAAGCTAACAAATTAAAATAACTCTTGAGTAAAAATGAATGAAACCCTACACTTCTTTGTTTTTTAGATATTCTGCAGTCTGGTTCTAAAAAGTATTTTGAATATTTTTGCAACTAGCTGTGCCTTTGTCAAAGTATCCATTACTTTCCCCCTTTTAGCATTAACCTGTTATATTTAGATGCTGAGGTAAACAATTAACCAAACTATGAATCAAATTACTTATGTACATGATTATTTATGTTAGCATAAATTAATTCAGTGAAAAGGAACACATTTCTATGTTCATTCATGTTTTATTTGTTCTAAGAACGAACTGTCACAGTACAACTTCCTAAATAATAAATTGTCGTGGAAGAAGAGAGATATCTTACAGTATGAGCTGCTTCTCTTATCATTTTTCAAAGAACAAGTTTCTAGTTTTGGTATTAATCCTTTCATCCACCTTCATTTTGCAAACCCAAATGCTTGAAATTTCCTAGAATTCTTGCCTTTGTGCTAAGCTGGTTAAGGGATCCACTGAATGGCTTGTTTTAATGATTCTTAATAATATTCCAACTCATATAACTACAAAAACACATATACTTTTTTTACATATTAATTGTATCCTTTTTAACATAAATATAGATGATTTAATTTTTTAATTGTAAATGGAAAGAAAACAACATAATCGAAAGTAAATAATACACACTCCAAAAATACAACAGTAGTATTGCTGGTACAGTCATGAAGAAAATAAGTACAAGAATACTATACTTCATGGCAATATTTTTTTTTTTTTTTTTTCTTGCTTGGTAATAGTAATAATATGCAGAATTCTTTTCAAGCTTCATCTCTCTTTCTATATACATAAATCTTATTTTAGCAGAATACACTTATTTTGTTGTAAACTTCATTCACATCACAACCTTTAACTATTTTTTTATTCACCATCTAAGTATTGTTTTTAAGTGATTAACTTAAGTCTGATAGTGTTTTAAGTAGAATAAGTTGAAGCAAGAGAACAGTGAAAACACGAAGATCCCATATTTGAGAATTCCCGCTGAACCTTCAGAAGCGTTGGGTCTATACCGTATAGTGTGTGCATTACAGCACAATGAATTTCACGTATTTTGCAACAAATGTGTTACTGAAGGAGATGCTTCTCTAATTTATTCAATCTATTCATCTGTCTGAAAATGGCAAACCTCTAAGTAAAATTTACCTATTAGCACTTTTGTATATTCATTATTAGAAGTATCCACTATCTGAGATTCAAATACATTAACATTTTACTTCAAAGTTCCACGGATTCAGCAGTTGTCTAGTAGAAATGAGTGCTCCTATGGGAAATTAAACTGTATGAAATTTTGTGTCACAACTAACTTAGTTTTCTTTGATGGCTATGAATTCTTTGAATTGCATACAGAAATTAATTAATGCATAATTATCTACAAAAAAATAATATTTTTAGAAATATTTTGTATATTTTCAGATGTTTTTTAAACTGATTATATTCTGAATTAAAATATTGTTGCTTAAACTATTTATTTTAGTGCTTTCATTAACAGTTTCAGCATTAAAACATTTTCTATACATTAGTTTCTTTTATATATTTTGCAAGTAAAATATTGAAATCGAAGTAAATTATTTTAATTTAGCTCTCATTCTAGTTATATATATATGCAGTACAAACTTCGAGACCCGGAATGATAGCTCTCATTCTAGTTATATATATATGCAGTACAAACTTCGAGATCCGGAATGATCTAAAATCTGGACCTTAAAGCCACCACCAAGAAATTCTTTTATGCTTTCCGCATGTGCAATTGATTTTTACCCCATATGAAACCATGTAGAGAATTCCGATTCTTAATTTCACTTTGGCACTAAATAAAATACCTCAAATTTGAAGAAACAATCAATTTAGCATAAATTTGTGTACTTGGCATACATCTCAAACCGAAACATTCTACATAGAAAGATAGTTGATTTCACAGCTACTAATATTTTATATCCCTGAGGCCAACCTATTATATTTCACTTTCATCATCATATGTTTATTAACACATTACAACTTGAGTAATGACTCATGCAGTGATGCCTAAACAATTTTTTTATATTGGTATTTGAGTAACAAAGAATATGGAAACCTTTTATGTTGACATTATGCTTGATGATGATTACAGAATTAAATGCGCTAAATGTTGACGAGAAAAAATTTAACAAAAATTTTCTTTCATATGCTAAAAATAGATTTTGTTCATAATACTTATAGGACAAAAGATTATGTTTAGTGCTATTTGAATTAAGAATAACTGATTTTTTATTTACATAATCTCAGATCTGCTGCCAGAGCTCGTATGGCCGCACTAGGCAGCAGAATTTAGAGAAGACAAAATTTTGGAATTTAGAAAAGCACCGAGTAACAAAATTAAGGAATGATAAAATTTGTAGAATTTAAGGAAAGCACTGGGACCCAAAATTAAGAGGCGGCAAAAATTTAGAACTTAGGGAGACACTTGGTAGCAGAATTTAAGACCCGCAGAGACTGCATCAGGTGCAGAGCAGGCGGCAAAATATTTAGCTCTGGCTCTCAGTAATCTTAAGTATATGTGGTAATTTATTTATTCAGAACTCAGATAAGCCTTAAGCATGTGCAAGAATTAGACGTATGTATAATTAATAACTAAATTAATACAATTCAGGTTTAATTGTGTCGGTGGACGATAGAAGCAAGGCAAAATTTAACAGAACATTTTCTCTTTCATCACCATTTATTGTATTTTAATTTCATCATTTGTAATCATCCCATCCTGTGTTTGGCGCATTTTAATCATCTTTGGTTTTGCGCCAATAAACTCTCACTCACTCACTCACTCATTTTCATCGCCAGTCTCGTGCTACAATCAAAAAAAAGGTTCAAATAATGATGTGAAAACAGCCAGATGCATTTTGAAGACTATTAATTGCATTTACTCTGTAGTTAAGGCAAGAAAGCAGTTTCAGAACTGTTTCAAAATGTAACAATAAAGGAGTTGTGTGAAGGTATTATACGTAAGATATAGAAATTAAGCACATGTATTTTAATATTAACTAATATTTAATACATGTGCTTAATTTCTGTTTATTTAGCACTGTATTTAATATTTTTGTATTGCATAAAAAAGAATTTTGTATGAAAATTTGAAGTTAGTAGGCATATATAATTTACACTGTTCTGTACATTTAAAATATTGTGTTTGCTAATATTTGTGTTGGCTTTTAAAATATTGTTTGCTTTTTTAATCGTACTAATCTTTGCATTTTTACCAATATCTATGGTCAGTTTTTATTTGTTGAATAATAATTTTGTGTATACTGGAGCTTAGATATTTTTTCTCCCTGTGCTTTTGAACTGTAATCGCAACTAACACTTAGCTTCAATTACATCTAGAGCACTGTACAGCTTTCCTCAGGCAACATGTTTTCTGAATCGCTTTCTGAAAATGAGAGGACCAAGGTAGTACCACGCCTTTCGAACTGATTGCTTAATAATTGCATGGGGTTGCATGAGGTATTCTTAGAGCAATGCTATTTGTATGTCTTTATATTCTACTAATACTACAGTATTAATTTTTTTGCATGTGATTTTAATGTGCTGCATTCTATTGCTAGGTATGCTTATGTTAATTTTTTGCTTTCTCATATAATGGCTGTCTTTTTATGTATTTTTTCTTTCTATTTTACCAAAAAAATTTCTCAGATTTCTTCTGTTTTAATTTTCAAATTTTGTTAAGTTTACTTTTTTACAAAGTTTACAAAATTAAATTTACTTTTAAAGCATTTATAAGATTTCTGTTTCTAAAATGGCATAAAAGTTATCAGGCTTGAATGAAGGATCTCCTTGATTTAAAATGGAATTAAAAAGGCAACTAAGATTCTATTCCAAATTTCATTTTACAACAATACAAAACGGTGTTGTCACTTGACGATATAATTTATGAAATAATGTTTTTGAAATGCTTGCTCTCGAGAGCACTCTTGAAGCCCACCTCCAAATTCTGCAGTATTCATCTGGTCATTGCCTCTGATGTTACTACAATCTCCCTGTTTGAAAATATCAATTTTTTGTATCCCCAAAGAAAATTATCATGAAGGTACAGTGCTTGTGAACAGGAAAGCCGTGCAATATTGCCGCTTTGCAAAATGAGATAAATTTGATATATTCCTCACAAAACGTCCTATATTTTACAAGTATCTAAAAGTTAAAGCCTTGAAACATAAGCTGCAGATAATTAGAGAACTGAAATATTCTATTTATTCTCAGATTGCAGTAGTAGTGAAAGCAGTGACTATGTGCACACTACAGAATTCCTGGGTAAGGCTTCAGTTGTGTATAATTTACAAGAGCTAGCACTTAGTTGGTATTATCTGTAAAGCAAAATGGTGACAAAATAACAGCCATTATTCTGTGTGATGGTAAAATTAAACTTGAAATACTATCTGTTTTTCCTTTTTGTTTCTGTTTTAAATTGGGAAGATTTTTCTGATGAACCCTGCCAGGATGTTCTGCCTCAAAGTTGGGGCAGAACTGTGCAGTTAGTGCGACGGGACTATATCTGTAACAGTGGTGAAATTCTGGTATCCTGCCCACTTCTGCCTGTACCTGCCAAACCCTGTAAAAGTAAATAACATTTAAGAATTTTCTAGCATTTTAAAAATTTCTGTAGAAACATTTATACATATCAGTATTTTTATGTAAGCAGTAAAAGTCTTCTCTCCATTTAAGATATTTGTCTGGTTTTTCATAACGATATCTGTCGAAATGCTTCTTTGGCGGATAATAGGTGTTACAGGTGAAAAAAGTATTCATAATGAACAGAGCATTCTCTCCCCCCACCAAAAAAAATGGAGCATCATCTTTACATCTAAGAATAGTACAAAAGTGTTCAAATCATGAAGCTGCATATATAAGCACATTCTTTAACCTTTATTTTAGCTGCATCTTAAGGCTAAATTGTATAATGCTTTTTAGTTGCCCCTTGTTTTGATTATGTTACATGTTATAGAAATGTGTGTAAATGTCTGCCTCACTTGCATTGGACAGCTGATGTAGAGCTAATGGGCATGCTATTTCATATTTCACTGATAATATATTCGTAAAAATCTAGCAATAGCCTGAAATATAACTTAATAGCATAAAATATCAATTTAAAATTACTTTCTGGCTTTTATTCTTCCTATGAAAAAATGTGGGTATTTTAACTATTACTATGATAGTAAGTTCCTTTTGATATAAGAATGGTATAATTTCATAGAAACTCATCTCTGTCTTATAAATATTGCAGCATTAGGTAAGTTGCATGAATTTGTTGCATTGTGAGATGATGCAGAGTAATGACAAGAAGTCCTGATTTAAACAAAGAAGAAAGAATTTCGTATATGCTATCCTGTCCATGTTAAGCAGAATTTCAGTGGAATTTTAATAGGCACTAATGTTTTATTTTCAGGATGTAGGTGTAAATTTTTCGAGCATATCAATTATTAAGTCAGATTACATTTGCATAGTGCTTTGATACAAAGTAATTGATAATCTTAAAAAAAAAAAAAAAATCTAAAATTTGGGATCTGTTCAGTCATATTTCTCTTTTATTCAATGCTTCTCTTTTATTTTATTTATTATTTTACAAAGTCATACTTCTCTTTTATTTTATTTATTATTTTACAAAGAATAAATAATCTTTTAGAATATATAAACTGGAATTGCTGTGGTATTAAAATAAGTTTTATGTAAATATTTTTAATTGCATTAGCATTACTCTTTATATATATATATATATATATACTGGACCTATTTTTAAGTACTGGCTTGCAGTTTCAGTTCAGTATGCTATGGACAGTTCGGTTGAAATTGACATGTAAATAGGATTGGGTTTTAAATATACATGAAGCTTCTTTTATTTTTTATTTAATGGTGTATTACATTTTTAAATAAGCTGTAATGTATCATTCATCTTGCAAGTATCACCACTGCAACAACATTGCTGTATACCATAATGTCATCTGAAACCTAATGGATCATAAGTGACCAGTGGCTTTGATAGTCATCACTATTCTTTGATTATGGCCAATAGTCCATTGGTTTTGTTCAATTCTAACAATTTATCTAAATGCATCACACCATGCATTTAATCCATTAGTTAGTGGTAAGGGGCAGTAACCATCAACTTTTTGGTTGTTAGTAATTTTAATGGGCACTAATGAGAAACAACCTAAACAGGCATTAATGTGCTTTAATTTAATGTTCAGGACAATAGTCCACAAAATGAAAACTCTCATATCAGTTCTAGATCAAGACTGATACGTTGCTACAAACAAACTTCTGACCCTAAAAGGATTACTGCTGTAGTTTCTGCTTTTATGATTGAATGGCTGGAACGTGGCCGTATTTTAAGCCAGTCGCAGATATAATTGCAGAAGTATATCTAGGAATAGTTAATTGCGGAATGACACCAGTAACCCTTAAATTTTAGGTCTCAGGTGACATAATGCTTTGAAAGGCAACAATATGCTCTAATTTAATTTTAGCTAAATTGATCGACTCAAAAGGATCATCAGAATGTATGTAATTAGTGACCTTGGTCATTGTGCTTCAGTTTAATTAAAGATCTCTGTAAATTTCTTGAATTTTCCTGCATTGCTGACCTATTGATTAATTACCACTGAATCTTGAATTGTAAGTTGTTGATGACCTTGACAACCTTTATGGGTAGCAGTGGGTTTGGGTTTAATTTAAATACCTACGCTACTATGCTTTCCCTTTTATTACATTTTAAAATTTATATGTGAATAACATTACACTCACAATGTATGCTGATGACACTGCGATCCATCCTCACACGAAGTGCATTTATTTATTAGTCCAGCTATTCAATGGTTACAAGAATACATCCGCATACCAGAGACTTGGCTATGCAAATGGAAAATCCTGGTGAATGTTAACAAAACTCATGCTATCTTATTCATGAGAAGAAAGAAAATCAAGAAAAACCTTCAGTTCTATGGAGAATCAATTCCCTGGGCCAGTCAGGTTCCTTATCTTGGGGTGATCCTCAGTAGAACATTATCAATGAACCCACACATTACATATATTCTCTCGAAATTTTGAGCACATAAAGCTGGACTCTTCCCCTTAATTGCTCGAAATAGTGTTCTATCTATAGATAACAAGTTACTCATTTACAAATCCATTTTGTGTCCCTTGTTATATTATGCCTGCCCAATCTGGGCTTATTCACCTATGTGAATGTCATATCGCAAAAAACTACAAGCTGCACAAAGCAGCGTTCTTAGACAGATCACCAATGCACTTTGGTATATCAGAAACAACAGAATTCATGAGGAGTTGAATGTTGAACAACTCAGAACTTACTATTGCCGTGTGGCTCATAAATTTTATGATAATGAGAAGTTAATTAACAATCCTGCAATTACCATTTGTGATTATGACTACAATGATCCCTCTAACAGCCAGTGCCCTATTGCTATTCTGAATGTACAAAATGATTAGACTTGTATTACATATTTATGTTTTTGTCTCACTAGTACTACTTTATTGCATTAATAACTATATTTATGTATAAATATTGAACTAACATGTCAAAGTGTAAAATACTAAAAATGCATCAATGATTCGTACTCACCTCTCTTACTTTTCATGTCTTGCTCTGTAATATTACTGTGTTTTCAGCATGTCACCAGCTCATCCAGATGCCTGGCATTTTCCTTAATCTTCACCTCGATTTGCAACCCTTCATCATTGCTATTTATTTATAATAAAGAAATTTTAAAAACTCTAAAAATTTAAATTATCATGCCATATTTAAATCAACACTTCATATTATGTACTACCTAAAAATACATTATTGTATATACCCATCACTTATATATATTATTATCATTTCCCTGTATATATTCGCAATTGTACAATTTTTCAATTGAGGGTAAAGTCTCTGACCTAGGTACCTTGGTGTTACGCCACTGTCTCGGGTTGCTTTTCCCTTTTATGATGACTTATGAATTGACTAAAAGTGATCCTCAGTAGATTACCAATAATAAATGTGCCTGAAATCCAGCATTGTGCGCCAATTTAATTTTAATATCTATTTAAACTTTCTGCACTTGTCTCTCAAGAATAATTCAGTATTCAAGGGCACATTGCACCTATGATCATTTAAGGACTGTTTTGAAATGTGTGACATTAATCTTATAGTTCTTACTTGTTAATAATTTTCATTAGCACCCTGTATCCATCTGTGACTCATTGCTGGCATCATTTCCTTTGTATCATTTACATTTTTTTAAATAATACACAATATTTTAAAAACATTCATGTTCACTGTTGTATTATGTTATCTGTCCTTATCCATCATACGTGAATTCTTATTCATCATTTCTCATCATCATTCTTATTCATCATATATGGAATGTCTCTAGGTTTGATAAAACCAAATAAATGTGTAATTTTTACATATTTTCATTAATACTGGTATTTGCCTCTTTGTAAAAGTTTGCTTTATGGCACTTTTTTTCGAAAGTTTTATTTGTATTTGTTTTTACCTATCAAAGAAATCGACTTTTGCTTTTATGAAAGAAAAAAAAATTAAAGCAGCATTCAATATTTTTTTATGCACTATTACAGAAATGTGTGACATTACTTGTTATAGAGCATATTGATTTAAAGCAGTTGTGTCGAATATTTGTATTGCATATGAAAAGCTGCACAATTGAAAATATTTTAATCTTTGCACTCAAGTACACTAGTGTATTTCAAGCATATTCGTCAGCCAGAGCAAAATATTAAACCTTGACTTCCAACATTAAGTCAGGCAAACATAGAAATTGCAGAAATTGTGATCTGATGGAAATAATTATAATGAGAATGGTAATAGATAATTTTCTTCTTTTCATACTGATGCAACTTACTCTCCTGTCTCTCTTACTACCAAAACTGCAAATGATTCAGTTTAGGACATCATCACTAATGCAGTTAGTACAATGCCTGTAAACTTAATGTGTGCTATATAAATGAGATTGTGCTTCTGCACAAAAATGCTGCTTATTTTGTAAAGCGAGAAAAACTTGTAATTTGTTTCTCAAATGATCTTGCTAGGAAAAATTGGCTTATTAACTAAATCTTAAAATGTTTAGTAGTTACTCATATGTTTTAAAATAATATTTTTAGGTTTTTGACGGAATTTAAAAAGATAATGAAGGTTTCAATACAAATCTATCCTCTCTTTTCTGAGAGGAGCACTTATATTCATAAAATGTGAACAATCATGCAGAATGTTTTTATTAAAAATCTTTAAAAAAATTATAGAAATTGTTTTTACTCTGAAAGAGAATCAAGGCACATGCTGAAATTAGCATTTACGAAAACTATCTTATAATTTATTTATGAATAAAGTATTCAGTGAATCCTATCATATAATTTTTCTCTATAGTCTAACTAAGGATTTGAAAATGTGTAAATAAATTAATAATTTTTAATTTATTATTGTTAATGTATTTTAATCCAATAAATTTAATTAAATAGCAAAAAGTTGAAGTGAGTGCTGCATACTGCTTTTCAGTTATTGTTAATTTTACTACATACTGCAGGGGGGGACCGTAGTTTTTGAAAAATAAATTAAGGTTATATTTTACACCTAACAGTTTCTTTATTTTTTAAACAGCCACACAGTTTTTGACTTAATTCCTGATATTTTCTTGTGTATTTTCTACATGTAGCAGACAATGGCAGAGATTTGTGCTCCGTTTGATATCTACAGAAGCCTTTTCTGGAATTCCTTTTATGCTATTTTGCTTGGTTATGTGGTGTTTTGGATTGGTGCTTGGGTACATGGTTAGTGCATGTGCTGTTCTTTAACATTTTATGAAATTGAGAACTAATATATGAACTGACTGATATATTTCCCTTAGTAAAATAAATACATTTGATATTTAAATTTTTGCTTTACTTTTAAGAATACTCTGATATGACTTTAAGAATACTCTGATCTTGATCAGAAATCAAAGTTCTTTTCAATAAACAATACAATAAACTTCTGATTATTTGTGCACTATCCTGTAGAAAAATTCTGAATTGGTGCACGAGTAGATGGGGGATCTTTTGGCTTTTTGGAAGAAACTCATATGCAATGAATCTCATTTCTATGTATTGAAATGTAGTTTAGGTTGTAACTTATGATTTAACAAATTCTTCTCTGGTATTGTAAAATAGGAAGGTTCTGTCAATTATGAAGTAGTAGCATAAAATGATCGGTAGATCGACACTTGTGTAGCCAAGTGTTCAGTCCGAAGACCTTTACTCCCATATATCACTTGAAATTCATAGCCTCGAAAAATCGTAAGTTTGTGAAAATCCGATAGATGGAAGGGCATCTGTAAGTTAAATGATGAAATAAAATACTGAATTCTATCTTATTTAGGGCCTCTGTTAGAATTAAAGTTTTACTCAACAGCTTAAAAAGCTGTTAGAATTAAAGTTTTACTGAACAACTTAAAAAGGGCTGTATCCGGGCTCTGATGAATTTAAGCCTAAATGTAAAGTTTAATGTACTATTTAAAAAAATGATGTAACACAAATTATTTTACATCACGTGAATGAAACTAAATAAAATGGTTCAAGTGTTGTGTAAGAGAGTGGAAAGAAACAGTATTGGAGAAAATTTAAATGGAGAAACTGTGGTACGAAAACAGAGGCTCAAAAAGACTATTCCCTGCCACTAAAATTATCGTTCTCAAGCGGAATGATTAAGAGGGGAGAAAATGACCATCCATCCGAGGTCGATAAGTTAAAGTTAACCATTTTCACGTACCATATTTGGTTACACCTGCTAAAAGTGACGTAAGTGCTTTCCCCTCTTCCGTGGAGGGGGATGATAGTATTAGATGTGCTTTAAAACTTTATCATGGTACTTCACTATGTTGGGTTCATTGTCACTTGGCACGCATTTAGGAATATAAAATATGGTTCCCATTCCCTATCATGCTGTAAATGTAAATAACTGGCTCTGCCAATATCTTATCAGCAGATATGACAGTACAGCCAAACTGGCCATAAGGAAATTTCCCATTCCCAAACAAGCTGTATTAAATTTATTATACTTCCTGGAGCTTAAGGTTTTTCTTCTTTAAGCATCCCAGCTTCGATCTGTGGGTTTGTTTTTGAAGGGAGATTTGCATTCAAAAGTTGGTATCAATATCAAAGTCTTATTTATTGCTGAAATAAAAAAAATTATGAGATCAAAAATATGATCTCCTGAAATTGTGATTGAGTTTCATAAAGAAAGAAATGCAGGAGCTAATTTTATTTAGGACTACAGTGCATCACTTTGGCTAGCATTATAATTTATCTAAAAAACTAAGAAATATCGGAGCCTGGATCTGGTGCAATTTAAGCACTGTAGCTACATTCACACAGTGGTCTATGTTTCAGTTGATTAGTGTGTCTTGCTTTTGTAAGATTAATGCTAAAAATGTATGTAAGATTGCTACTTGCATTATATCCCACACAACTAAAGATGCAATGATCTAATTTTATATATAGAAAAAGATTTTGCTATTGTCTTTTTAAATAAAGCTTAATTGGAAAAGTCATCATGACATAAAAAGCGTATGGAGCTGATTACTACTATGTATTCACACATTTTTTTATGTTTATTTCTTTTCTAGTGATAGATCAATCCAGCCACATGTGAAACATTTTTTGAATTTGTAATTATACGTAAGGCTTTTTCAGTCATGCCTGATTAGATAACATACAGAACATTAATTGTGAGCTGATTGCAGTCAGTAGGAATAGGTTTAAAAATTCTGTTGTTTTCTTTGACTATTTGAGTCCCCCCTCATTTAAAATTTTCTGCTATGCCATCAAAATAACTTTCTACATTTTTATCTAAATAACTATTCTAACCTCTAAATAACTACTGCCTTATCTCCCTAATATACAATGTAATATTTATTATTCTAGTTCACAAAATTGAAAACAAGTGCATTATGCTTTTTATTGTTGAAGCATAATGCACTTGTTGCTTTTTATTGTATTAATAATACAACTTAGTTTTTAATCTAGAAATGAAGGAATATGAGAATTCTCTGTGATTAATATCCATTATTTCCGAATCCTGAATCTCCATGTCTAAACTACACTGCTGGCCATTAAAATTACAACACCATGAAAGAACGCAAATACACTCATTGCCATAAAAATTTGCGCACCAAGAAAGAGTTGTCATAATGAAACGAAATTTTATGTATTTTATGTATTAAAGTACTACTTTGATATAAGTAAGTCATTAGAAAATCAAAGAAAAAAAAGGATAATTTATTGCAGAAAAAAGTACACATGAACGGAAGTTTTAGTACTTTGTTGGACCACCTCTAGCGCGAATGCACGATGCGATACAAGCGAGCATTGAGGCATACTAGTTCCGTATGGCGTCCTGAGACATCTCGTACCACAGTTGCTGTAAACGCGCCTCTAGTTCGGCCAATCTCGTAGGCTGTCGAACTTGCCGTTCCAAATGATCTCAGCTATGCTCGATTGGTGACAAATCTGGGGATCGAGCAGGCCGGAAAAGGGTATTAATGTGGCGGAGGCAATCTTGTGATTTGTGCTGCGCGTGGCCGAGCAATGTCTTATTGAAAACAGGTTCCTGGGAGCCCTGCCATGAGTGGCAACAGGTGTGGCTGAAGGATGTCATGGACGTACAGCTGTCCAGTCATTGTGCCATGGATCAAAATTAGGGGTGACCGTGTATCGTAAGCAATGACACCCCATACCATCACATCAACTGTGACGATGTGTCGCTGTACCACTAACTAATGGTATGTGTCTGCAACCCGTGCCCCGCTGAAGTCATTTTAGTGGCCCCACATTTGAATCTGAAGAATAATTGAAGAATTTTAATAAATTTTGATTTCAAGAAAAATTGCCTTCTGAGCTTTTGGTCGTATTTTTTACTCTTATTCTTAATATTATTTGAGATAAAATTTTCCGAAAATGAGAAAATTTTCAAAAATTTCACTTTATCTTATGTAATTTTAAAAATAAAAAATTTGACTACGCATAAAATCTCACTTCCATAAAAAGAGTAGATTCTTATCTCTAACACGTTTGCAACAGATGCCAATCTTTCGTTAATACTTCGCCAAAGATGACGTTGTGCATGCTGCTACTATAGAGGGGAGGGGGAATAAATTAACGGAATTCTCTTTATCTTAATGTTGTGATCAGTTTTCAAAGGGAACGGTGATCGTAAACATGCTGTTTGATTTGGTGATAAGTAGATTTTCTACAGTTGATTTTAAGCTAGGTTACTCATGCTCATTTCAGATTCTATAATTCAAAAGCGTTTATGGTCATTGAATGAGTACATAATGGCAAACTTTTTTTTTTTTTTTTTTTTTTTTATTTTATTTTTTTTTTTTTTTTTTTTTTTTTTTAAGGTGGTCTTTTTTTTTTTTTTGGTTGTTGTTGTACATAAGGGTAAGGCAGTTTGCTTATTTTCATTGACAATGTAGTTGTGATGAAGGAATACAACATTATGAGACTAAGCACAGTGAGAAATGTTCTGCATTGGAAGGTCATTTTCGAAGTGATAAGGTGAGTGAATTAAAATCAAAACTAAATTTTCAGCAGGCTTTCTTCACCACAGCGAATAAAGAATCTCAAAATAGTGTTCGTGTTAGTTACATGATTGCTAAGCGTGAATAACCCTTTGCTGATGGACAATTTGTAAAAGAATGTCTTCAGAGTGCAGTTGATGTGCTTTGCCCATCACAGGCTCAAGTCATATCGAATATTAGTTTGTCTGGTGTGACAGCGAGATGCATAAAGGATCTCGCAACAGATATATTCACTAAATTAAAATCCAAATGCAAAAAAAAAAATGAGTTTTACTCTGTAGCGATGGATGAATCAACAGATACTGCACAGCCATTTTGATTCGTGGGTTTCATAGAGACTTCACAATTGTAGAGGAATTGGCCAAACAGATTTGTATTCGAGTCTGATACAAACTTTGGATAAATGTGATTTAGACTTCAGTAATATGTGTGCTATAACCACCAGGGATGGTGCTAAATCTATGACTGGAGTGAAAATAGGAGTAGCAACATTATTCAGATCTGGTGTGAAGGGAAGTGGAAATAATATTATGATAACTTTCCACAAAGAAAATTTGTTCAAAAAGTCCTCAAGCTTTGAACATGTGATGAATGTTGTAAAAGTGGTTAATTTCATTCGGTTTAAAGGACTTAATCACAGGCAATTTCAACAGTTCTTGAGTGATCTGGAAGCTGAATACGGTGATGTTTTGTATTACGCGGAAGTACGTTGGTTGAGCCGGGGAAAGATGCTTCCGCGCCTGCTTTCTTTGAAGAGCGAAGTTCAATAATTCATAGAATTTAAATGGAAATCTATTCACGAATTCAGTGATGAGAAATGGTTGAGAAACTTTGCATTTCTTGTCGATATTACAGTTCTTCTCAATGATTCGAACTACCACTTATTCGGAAAAGATCTACTTGTTCATGATCTTTATTACTTTGTGGAAGCTTTTGAGACAAAATTAATCCTGTGGGAAAGTCAGTTCCTAAATAAGAATTCTGCTTACTTCTCAAAAATTGATGGAGTGTGTGAAGAACTCTACAACACGGAATTCAAATAATTATGTACAATGCATTTCAAATTTGAAAGAGGAATTCAATTGCAGATTTTCCAATTTTCGTGAAAATGAAATTTTTATCAGAATGCTCTCCTAGCCATTTTCAGTAGACGTTGGAAGTGTTCCACCTGAACTTCAATTAGAATTTATAGATTTACAGTGTGACTGTGCA